AACGGGCCCCTGCTGTGTGGGAGCCCTTGATGGCGATACCGTCGCTCCGTCATTGTCTCGGTCATCCTCCAGCGGACCGAAAGCATAAATAGTGAGGGGGGGGGGGGGGCGTCAACGACAGGTGGAAACAGAAGAGAAGTCACTGGACCACCTGGTCCGTTAGTCATGTCGTGTTTTTGAGCGTCGGTCTATCGCTCGTTCGAGGGCCGCCAGCAGCCTCTCCGTCACTCAGATCGTTTGTCCCTCAGTGCGATTGACTGACAGTCATCTACTTGGTGGTTTCTCGGGCCAGTTGAACTTCATAGCCATCTTTCTTCTCTTTTATCCATCCATAACTTAGTTCAATCATAAACTAATCGGCTGTCAGTCTCAGCCAGACGGAGAGGCGGCGTAAAAGAGCAAACATCTCATTTCTCTGTGTGCTCTGGGATTTTGGCCTCTTGTGTTTTGGACAAGAACACCAATTGGAAGACAAAGACTCGGAACAACAAACAAAAAGCGGCGGCAGCTCGTTTGATAGACGAAGTGACAAACAGGCAAACACCCGGGCAATAACACCCAAACACACGCACGCGGCGACACGAAGCTTCGTGTTTGTGTGCTCTGGGTCCAAAGCAAAGTCTGGCTTGATGTCTTTTAATGATGTGGCCTGTCTGAGAGAGAGAGGGAGAACCAACCCTCCCCTCACTGTTTGGACAGATGGATCATCACTGCACCACTCACGTTTGACAAACACGCTTGTATGTGAGCCCGTGCACGTACGCGTCGTGTGTGCGTGCGTGTGCGTGCCTGTGCACGTACGTGTCAGTGTGACGGATCCAAAGCCGGCGTTGATTACGCGGCGTGTTCATTATATATGGTGTAATTCGACCATCATGAAGTCCCCTTCAGACAAAATCAATAGCGGTGTTAATATGATCCTCTCTCCGCTCGTTACTGCGGGGAGACTTCAATTGATTAGTTAGCTGACACTTCAACTTCCACAATGCAAAGATGCATTAGGTTGTGTGTGGGTGTGTGTGTGTGTGTGTGTGTGTGTGTGGGTGTGTGTGTGTAACACTGTCTATACGCAGGTCGATGTTATATAATGTCATCAACTATGCAGCAGCATAGCTGTTGGTTGTTCAATCCATTGTCCAGCTACAATGCTTTTTTTTTTAACTGCAGGTTATTCTGCGTCTACTTTTGTGTGTGTTGGACGTGTATTATGCAGTCTTTAAATGTGTTTTTTAATGGGGACCTTACACCACCGCAGTTAAACCAGCTGCACAGTGGTCCAGTGGATTAGATTTGGCGTAAATAGAAGAGAAATTGAAATACTATTGAATGAATCACCTTTTTATGGATGTTTTATGGATGTGGCTGCAAATATTGAGGAAGATTAATCCGTCATTCGTTCATTAGTTGTTTTTTAATTTCTGAAACTCATAAAACATTTATACTTGACAGGTTCGGCGGTTGATGAACTTGTAGATCATCGGCAGGGACATTTACTCACAGGAGGCGGACGTTTGTGCGAGACCACAAATCATTGTGGATCTCACACCGTTTTTAACGGCTGTTATGCAAGAAGGACCGTTAAGGGCGATTGTCTTTTATTTGCGGTAGTTATCTTGCTACCTTATGGAGCCACGTTGTTATTTTTTCAAAAAAACTAGGATCTTCTTTCCAGCCTTCACCTGTTGCCGGGAGCAAACCGCCGGCTGCACAACACTAATCCCCTTTTCTGCGGTTGTGATACCAAGCTGTGGACCAGGAATCATGGCTATTGATTCAGAAATACTGACATTGGTTTGCAGAAACCAAAAATGCAAAAACTAATCTGCGCTAACTAATCCTGCCGTCTGGGCTGTAATTAGAGAAGCAGTGTAATGGATCGCTTCAGGAGGCAAATTAGGAAAAAACAAGATTTTCTTTGAAACAGTTGAGGGTTATTATCAAGACTTTAAAAGATATTACACTTTGTTTGCACAGAACAATTAAGATTCAAACATTTTAACCTGATATCTATGACTCGTGATGTTTTGTCTGTCTTGTATTAGTGAATAGTTCTATGAGTCGAGTGAATAACTGATGCCTACAGGTGAGACAGTCTCAGGTGTCACCGTCACGGGCAAAACAAAACAAGGGTATTAAAGCGTGCACTTTAGACAATAGAGTTGTGTTGCAGCTCATCTCGGTCCGTGTCTCCTCTTCTTCCTGGGAGGAATAAATGTATTGTGCAGCCTCATCTGTTCTCCACATGCATTTCAAATGACAACATTGTTTGCAGCATGTATCATTTTTTTAGTACGGCTCTGGTTCCCTCTGCTAAGTGCCTGGAATGCACCGGTGTGTTATGTGTGTCATCCATCACTGGGTGTGCCAGGCTGTTCTCAGCATGTACGTGTGTGTCTTAATGCACAGGCCCTGTATGTGGGTCTTTGTGTAGAGAGAAGTAGGAGCAGGAGGGAGAGGGTGGGGAGGATGCAGTGGAGACGTACTAATGCCCTCGAGATGATTTAGAGTTTAGACCACCAAACAAGCAGAGAAAGGCTGGTTCAGTTTTCTCCCTCAGGACCAGTCGTTGGCGTGTGGTGAAGTAAAGACAAACTAAGATCCACCTGAGATCGCTTCAGGGGGAATGAAACAATCTAATGTTTCTTTTGTTTTTTTTATTAAATCGAGCTGCAGCTGTCTGTCTCTGCTGCGGTTACTTAAAAGTCATGATGCAAATGCATGTGTGGGCATAAATCAGGTCGTTAAAGTGGCATATGCATATTTCTTTTAATTTATGGCTAATGAATATTCACAGTATTTTAGATTTCATAGATCTTAATTGTTTCACCATTAAATGACGGCTTTTCATTATTTCATTGAAATGGGAGTAAGATTCATTGAATCCAGATGTTAAAGGGGAGGCAAAAATAACCATCGGTTTTCTTTCATTTTAAGTCTGATATTAAATATACAACAAAATTGGATTCCTCTTCTTTTTGAATGTTTATTTGTTGGTGAAGTATAGGTGCCCTGTTAAGTCTTGGCATCTGTTAGTGCTCGGGAGCAATTTTGTTATTATTGTTGTCGCCACACACGTTCCTGTTGCTGTTTTCAAGCTTTTACTTCAATGCACAAAAAGCTGAAGCAATGCGCCAACAATAAGTGAGAAAAGATGAACAAGCTGTAAAAACATTAATGGAAACACGATTTAAGATGCTAAAAGATTTGCCTTGCGAGGGTTTTGTATGGAGGTAAATGTATTAGTGTATTAGTTTTGTCGTTTTGTTTTTGTCGTCAAATGTCAGAGCACCTTTTTATTATTAAACTACTACTTTACGCGAGAAAGGGAAAACATCCCGTGAATCCGTAAAACGAGGAGAAAGCATGTTGCAGCCAAATGTTGGTAAAATGGCTTTTTCGGAGAAGGGAATGAGTCTGTCAAGGAAACTAGCAGACAAAGAAAAGTGACGTCCACAAACGACAGGTTGACTAAAGCAAAAGCAGCCAGAGAGCGCTGAAGCTGCCGCGTGAAAGGGAGAGAGAACAGGGAGAGAGGGAGATCTGTCGCTGACTTTCTCCCGCCGTGGATGACAGGTGCTTTGCATTGCTCGGCGGGCGACGGCAAAACCACATCTCCTCGCCGCCCAGCGCCTTTTGTAGGCCGGACTTTGAGCGAATTCCGTGTCGCCCCCCCGCGCGCGAGGTCACGGATCCCGTCCGCGCACACTGAAGGCATAATGAACTTTCCATTCGAGGGGGGGGGAGGGACGTGAAATGAAACCGCCACACCTCACAGCATGAGGGTTTTCATGTGGGAATAGTAGCGAGGTGCCGTACTGTACGTTTAACCCGACAGCCACCGAGGGCCGCTCATGCTTCAGAGGCGTGTGGAGACTTTGTTCTCCGGCGAGCAGAAAGTTTCCCCGCCGTTGTCCTTTTCTGGCTCGGGTTCAATTTAGTCTTTAATCTTCACATCACACGTTGCCATGACAAAACAGGTTATTCATACTTCTGTTTTTTTAGCAACCCATTGTCACTTAAAACCGACAATCCTGGATCAGAGCAGATGAAAACCCTGTTTCAGAAGATGCTGTTTGACTGCTGAATAATATGTTTCTGTCATGAACACCCAAAGCAAAGCAAAGGCTGCTGCTCTTTACAGCAGCGATCCTTAGTTACTCGACTCACTCCACCACACACAGCCTGGTGATGGAGGGCGGGTAGGGGGGGGTATTCGGCGCTCGGTATGAATCACTCCTGGTAATAGCATCACATAAATGATTAACAAGTAATGATGTCGGCGGTCTAGAACACTCATCAGTTCACCCCCACACAGAAAAGAAATCAGGAACAATTGATTTGTGGAAACTGCTTTGTTGTTCTCGCAGGGAATGACTTTTCTGGGAAACACAAAACCGCAGTAAGCATTATATAATAATCACATCCAGCAATTTGAGTGCTTATTAGTGAAAACAAACAAATCAGATTTAAAGCAGCTATGAGTCAATTGACCCACACGGAGTTCTGTGCACGGCGGCTCCCTGCAAAACATCCTTCACACGTTCACACAAACAGACTCTTTGACAATGACAAACCCGCACACAGCTGCTGCACTTTTACACTCAAACAAAGCTCCTGTGCAGTGGAGACACAGACGCGCACAGAGGGCCCGTCGTTTCGGTGACTTCAGCACACACGTCAGGTGTTCGTGGTAACGCAGGGGCCCGTCTGATGATTCATGCGTCTGAGTGTCAGAGGTGTGAAGCACACAGGCTGGTTTCACTCAGCGAGACTCCTCAACACTTTTTAACCCCAATCAGTCACACGTTCTCCCTCTTTACACCTCGCTCCCTCGCTCCCCTTTATTCATTTGTTTGCAGGCGTCTCGTCTCCTGCGGTGAATCCGATGCGCTCGTGGCGAATCGCTTTTGCCGCATCAAGCTTTTCAGTGCTTTGATTAAAACTAATGTGAAATAAGGCTCTGATTAAACCCCGACATCCGGCTCTTTCTGTCCTTTCAGGTGTGTCTCTCCAATGCTCTTGGCCCTTGAGGCCTGAGGAAAAGTGAGCCTGACCCAAGGCCTCCCCCCCATGGGACGACCCGTTACCCAGCATGCACTGCTGCTGCTGCAGTGCATGCTGGTCCTGTGGCCCGCAGGCGTGGCCAGTAGGAGAGGGCCGGTGCTGCTGCCCGAATCTCCCTGTTATAAGACGGAGCACCCGCTCGTCCCACATTCAGGTAAACACGCACAGACTCCCGGGGGACGCCATAATTATGTGCGCTGTGTGTAATTAAGCTGTTATAATTGTCTTCCCTGCCTCCGTTCTTTCGATCCAACCTTCATGGCTTTCTTTCCTCCATAGAAATCTCTCTTTTTACCTTCACAAGGTTAAGATGTCTGAACAGCTCGATGGGATTTTTTCCTTTTGCTAGCAGACAAATACATTGAAGACCACATAAAGGAAAAGGAGAGCAGCGTAAACATGTGTATTATTTTTTTAGTATCCACTGTAGTTGGTATTTAGCTGTGGAGTTTTTTTGTCTTTTATCGCTGACACAAAACAAGATATTTACTTAAATGCTGCTTGTGTTTTTTCTGCAGCTTTACTTTACGACGTTAGACGCTAGTTCGCTCAACCAAATGAATCTAAATCACCTCATCTACCACCCGACAAATCGCTCTTACTTACAATCTCTTAAACGCTCCCCTTCCTTTCCCCCGCCCAGGTCATTCGGACAGATTTCATGAATGCTGCTATTCAAAGCAATGACTGTGATTTTCAAACCACTTAACGTCGGCTTACTTTGCAAACTAACGACGTCCGATGCCTCCCGTTGCTTGTTGCTCCTTCCCCCGACACACAAAGCAGAAACAACCCTCCTCGTGTGGCTTCACTCTGCAGTTTTTAGGCACAGTGTTTTCCCGCATTAGATCTGTCGTCCTCGCCCTTTATCTTTTATTGCTACCGAACAAACTAAACTGTAATGAAATGATGTCAATCGTAGTCAAGAGAAAGTGACAAAGGCAATCGCTGCGGTTCTGTCGGCCCTGCGCGAAGGAGCACGACGTCGTCAAGCTGTTTTTCAGTCAGATAATCGCATAAGGTTCCATCAAAAATAGGAATGAAGTAGTAGCGTGTGTGTCCACACAACCTCAGGCGCGCCTCATGTCCACAACCTTTGTGGAGGTGGCATACCCCCCCCTCTCCCCCGCCGCCGCCAATCCAGTGCAATGATGATGATGACTAACTGCCCAGCTAACATAATACGCCCGTGCCTGGTGCTTTCGGCGCGAGGGTCGGCTGTGGTTGGCGCGTTTGTGTTCTCTAATATACAAGAATGGCCCATTAAGCTCCTGTGGCTTAATGCTTTGGTTGAAATATAGGAGCGTTAATGAAAAAGGCGGTTGACATTTCAGTAGGTAATCAGACATGGTTCACTGAGACAAAGATAACTGGAGGAGAGAACAGAAACAGAGGGGAGCCCTTCACCGTGTGTGGGCCAGTGGCTGAATGATCAGCTGTGCTGATGCAGAGGTCTCCTACCCCAACAATAGTATTGTAAAAGCTAAAGTTGGTAAAGAACATAGCTTCTTTTGTCCGACGAAGCCACGTGGGGAAACGAGAGGCGGAGAACTCAGAGTCCCACAGAGCTGCAATTAGTTAGTTCAGAAAATACACTTGCATGCAGACACATGCACATGTCAGTTTCATCGGCTAAAAGTTAAGCCAAGCTACTGAGCTTGTGAGCTCGTTGCCCCGGTTTCAGAGATCTCGAGCTCTGCAGACTTTGCAGAGTTTGTTTTCTTTTTTTTCATGAAGGGACAAATAACAAAAAGTTTCCCTTATGATGCTGGTTTTTATCTGTATGCTTTTTTAAAACTTACATTCCAATCATATTGACTCTGAACTTGTGTTAATAAGCAGCCGCTGCTACGTCGTACCCATGGTCTCATGAAAACAGTCATTCGTCTTGGCCCTCGCAGTTATATTCATGGATATTTATGGCCTGATGATAGTCTTTGTGCACTTCAGACACATCTCATTGTTCTCTGTCGTATAGTATACACACTGCCAAATTACAGCTCTTGCTTTGTCCGAATGAACGCAAAAAGAAAAGCTTTGAGTCATAGCAGAATATGCACACGCACACACACACACGCACGCATATGTACACACATAAACAAAGAGTGTGTGAGGACAGAGTAACCTCTCATTATACCTATTATGCTTCTTCTTGGTGTGTCATTGTGCGCCGTGTAATGCAGTGTAATCCGAGGTTGTAGAGCGAGGCGGCCACGCTTCTTCTCCAGCCAAGTTGGGAGGACTACAAACACACATTTTCCCCCTGTGCACCACAACAGCGCAACACGTCTGCACTTTTCCGCTTGGAGCATCATAACTGGGATGGAAAGTTGATTGAGGAAATAGTTATAATAATTTTGCTTAATTTAAGTTAGACTACTTGCTGTGGACAGTGTCAATCGTCTTGCCAGGTAACCTCGTTATTCCTTCAAAAGGAAACTGATTTTGTGGCAGTTTGTGGCACAAGACTACAAATTTGACAACATCACGTTGAACCCACATATTTTTATAATTTTTCCTGACATTGTAGAAGTCAAACAATTACTTGAAAGAAAAGCATAATTGAACTACAGTTAAAATAATCCACTCTGGCATGTGCTGGGAACACAGTCTTTTTATAAGCACGGTTGGGCCGATAGTAAAGGAGCCGCTTTTATTTTGTAGTTCTTGGACCTGGTTGTTTGTTCACCTTTCTGTTTCAACGCAATGATTCGATAGTTCTAAAAATAAAATGCTTTTTGAGGCTGTGACCAGAGGAGCCAAGGTCGCTGAGCCTCTGATGAGCGCGTTCTGGTGACAGCATTTCTTCCCCTGTGTGATTGTGGCCTGTCTGTGGAAGGGTGTGCCTCACATGGGTTTGACCCGACTGGCAACGGTGGTATTTCTGACTCAGCTGACAGACTTTGCTACTGTAGAGTGGATGCTATGGCCCTAAAAAAAACACTTTCTGCTTATACAAGTGTAGGTCAGGAAGAAAGTAAACTGTACAGCTCGGTAGTTACGTTCAGAAAGTTTGCACAAAAATGCAGCTTCCTTTTTGAGAGAGGTTTGAATATATACCTTCAACGGGAGCTCCAACATGTCATTTAGCAAATTATTTTAGAAAGGGTTTTTGAAAGACTATCCCTTCAGTCTTGGCTGAAGGTCCTTCTGACCCAACATTTGTACTGTTGTTGTACAAATCTCATGGCCCCTGAGATGCTGTATTAAGAAAGTGTTGTCCTGGATAAAGGCTTAAAGGCTTTTAAAGGTTATAAACCGCGATGTAAACGGAAGGCCACGTCTCTGAGGAGTGTTTTACTTGTTTTACACCCAAAGACCGAGCTCAGCTTTTATCGGGCCTGGATGGCTAACGCATGGTTACAGAGACGGGAGGGTAAGCAGGTACATCAACAAATTGGCCTCATAGCATTCATAAACACAACAGGCTACAACTAGTTTTAAAGATTTTTTTAATTGGTCATTCGGGGGAGATTCTTTTAAATGAAAAGCCCCCCAAGGTCTTATTAACATCAATCACAAGACATTAAGACTGCTTGATTTTAGCCTGAGGTCAGCTATGTTCCAGACATGTTTTATTTCAACGGATCACAGGCTGTCGATTTGCATGAAGCAGTTTTTTTTAAGTGTCCTGAACAGCTCTGGTCATCTTCTTAAAACGTTGTCTTTTTCTCCCGAGACCTTGAAAACCAAACAACACCTAAATACACACTGATGTTTAAATATTTTATTGCACGCTTATTAGTGGTTTTATGGTGGTTTGCTGTGCATGATTTACTCGCTGTCCCGGGGCCGCAGCACTGCCCCAATTATAAAGCGTGCTTGTTTTTTCTTTGTTTGAAATAATACGAAGGGCACAGCAGCACGGGAAGGTCTTAACTCACCCTGCCTTTTGCTTTTGGGCTTTCGTCAAACTGAGCAGGTGCGTCTGTTTGTTTTTCGACCCGCTCGGCCAAATCGTTTCCTCCAATCAACTTGACACAATAGGTCACTCCTCCGACCCGCCCCCCACCGCGGCGGCGCTGCGTTTAACTCCTCCACTCCTCCGCACAGACAAACCATTCATGTTTCAGAATTGGTTCCACGTGTTGCCATTGTTTGCCGGCCTGAAGACGCTGATGGCGGGGTGTAAACATTTACACATCCTGTCATTTGCGTCAACTGGCGTGTGGAAGGGAGGACGGGGTGTGTGTGTGTGTGTGTGTGTGTGTCTGACTGTGTTTGTTGTTGTTATGTTGCCTCAGAGCTCTGGCTTCTGTCTTCATTTCCAACCCAGTCTGTCTGTGTGTGTGTGTGTGTGTGTGTGTGTGTGTGTGTGTGTGTGTGTGTGTGTGTGTGTGGGATTATTTCTCAGAGTCCAATCCCCTGATTCAACTAGCATGGCTGTGATGTGATTAAATTATCACATGCATTAGTGTGGTGGGTATAGAGCTGTGTAACATGCAAAGCAGGCCTGACATTTCGGCAGTGAGATTGGAGGTGGGATTTGTTTTTTTAGTGATAATTAATAGCCGCGGGTCGTCGTAATGTGTTTGTTTTCTATTGGATTAAAAACAAGGTTTTATTTCGTGGGATCATTAAAACCTCCCCGGGTGCCGCTACACTATAAACTACCATTACAGCTCGTCTAAAAACAAATATATATATATTACAAGTTAGAGTTCACATAATAAGTCTCACCGGTAAAGCAAAGCAAACACCCTGCGTAGATGTGTAGAGTTTTAAAAGAGAAAAGAAAAAGTGTGCCACAATATTATATCCACATGTAGTAACCCCAACCCATGAGCTGCTAAACCCCCAAAGAGGCTGACTTAGTGAAGCTCTGTGTATTTATTTCCACGTCTCCGGGGGGGGGTGGGGGGTTCCCGTGCTGTTTTATGAATGGTCCTTGGCCCATGAATCCTTTCGATTGTTGTTACGTTCAATTACAACCTTTTTCCCTTTTCCATACCCCAAAAATAACCCCTCTTCTTTGCTTCTGTCTCGCACCCAGACTCACACAGACTCTCGCACACTCCATCACCCCGTTAGCTACCCTCCCCTGGTGAGTCAGGGAGATTTATGGGGAGACGCTGGATTCGTCAAGCGGCGTCTCCCCCCCCCCCCGCCACTGCTACATTTGTATGCCAGAGATCCTCTGGATGGTGTGAAAAACAAGCTCAGCGGAGCCAAACGATTGGCACATCCCAAACTGTGTGTCTCCCTCCAGAATAAGCTGTGCAGCAGCCATTAACCAAGAAATGAAATCTTTTGGGGGGTGAAGTTGGTCCCGACCTCCCAGATATTTATTCCCGCTCCGCAGATGAAAATGTAGCGGCGCTACAAAAACCAGACGTCGGACGTCGTGAGGCTCTTTCCGCTCGCGGATCCCTTGTACCCGTCACCGAAGACTTGAAAGAGAACAGGGGAGCTTTTCTTTGCACACAGCGGTGCTGTCACGCAGCAGACGGCGTTGCTTTGTTAGGAGACCAGGTATTTGGTCCCGCAACGTGAGCTGGAGGAGGCAGATGCTCTTCGGAGGCCCCCAGTTTTTTCTTCTTTTGTTTGTCTTCGTTCTGAATCGCCAAGAAATCCTCCGTTTGTCACCGAAAAGCCCAGAAGTATTTGTGTTTGATGCAGTCGAGGCAGAGCGTACTTTCATTTGAAATGGCAGGTGTGCGTGAAGAGGCGGATAATGTGTTGATATATTCAAACTGTCATCTCCCTCTGTACCGGCCCTCAAAGGAGAGTTCCTTGGTAAATTTAAAAAGTCCCATTGAATTTTTATAGTCTGCAAATAAATTGGAAATGAAGTGATGAATGGTTTTTACAGTGAATCACTGCAGCAACCACTACTGGAAATGATGCACGAGTTCTCTCACCTCACTCAAAGCTACTCATTTCAAGCTCTCCTGAATGTTTTTTGGAAACCGAAATCCGTCTACTACTGTCGGGTTAAGTTATTACGACTTGCAGATTTACTACGTGATGGGGTACAACACGACGCTGTCATGACCGACTAAAGCTATCGGGTAACCAGGCGGTAGACAGGCCGGCCTCATCGCTCGGCAACTATATGGGGCCTGCGCTGCGATTGGTCAGGGGTTAATGGGATGGGCGCCATGAACACAGGCGTGCTGTGGATAAGATGTCAGTGTCTGTCAGAGATGTCTCTCTCTAGATACATATGTGTGTGTGTGTGTGTGTGTGTGTGTGTATTAACATAACAAGGTCGACTCTGACCATCAGAGGTCGTCATCTCTTATCCGTCGTGTACATTTACATGAAAGCGGTCAGTCAACTGTAGTTGTGGTTTACAGTAATCCGAGGACTGCCCGTTTACTCTCAATAAGGTGGATTTCAGTGTTTTGAACATTAGTTTATGGATGGAGGTGTGAGGTTTGTTTTTGCAAGGCTGAGAAGCACTAATGTAAGAGTCCTTTGATCCGTGAAAATGTGCTTTTTATTTAAATGGATTTTTTCTACCAATAGCAGCTCCAAGAGGTTTTGTTATTCTTTCAATCTCCTTTACATTTATTTTTTTTCAGAGGCCATATTTGTGTCACGGCTGATATAAAAAATAGTAATTGCGTTATGCTGACCTTTGTTATCATACGACTTTGAAAAACGTGCCTCCCGTGTCCTGTGATGTTGTTGGCAGAGATGGAGCCGTGGATCTTCAGGTTCAAGGCAGAGGGCACGGTGGATTACTCACAGCTGACCTTCGACCCTGGCCAGAATGAACTGATCGTCGGTGCCAGGTAACCAAAACCCGAGCGTGTTTTTTTCACCTTTTTTTCCTCCTTTTTGTTTTTTGTGTCTCTCTGTCTTTTCTCCCGTCTCTTTCATTTATTCTCTGTTGTTTTTTTTGTCTGTTCTTGATCAGTGATGATCAGTCAGTAATTGGTTTCTGTTGTTGGCTTTGGAGTTTCCAAGTCCGTTTTCCCAGCCAAGTGTGTGTGTGTGTGTGTGTGTGTGTGTGTGTGTGTGTGTGTGTGTGGGGGGGGGGGGGAGCATTCACACTATGTGAGTCCCTGGCTGACTCTGGATGAAGTGCGGTCTGCACTTCTCTTAATGGCTGGCTTGTCAGTAGAGACAAACACTCACCACAATGTGAACAAGAGACAACAAGAGAGCCAGCAGGAAGGTGAGCAGCAAAACAAACAGATTCAAAGTGAGCCCAGGGAATTTACTAATGCATCCTTGGAACTTACGTGGAGAAAGCTAATCAAGAAGAGAGTGTGTACGTGTAGATGGATGAAGATTAAAAGTCGAGGAGGCGAGTGGATTCTCACTTTAGCTGCTGACGAAATTGTTTGCTGCTAATCTTTTCTTCTTTAGCTACAATTCTCCCAGTTCTATCAGCACATTATATTTGCAGCACAAAAAAAGAAAAAGAAAATCTAATCTAATCAGAGATTAGGTTTGATTCTCTCGCCGGCTCAACCACCAACTGTGAAAGGTGTTGTGCCGGGATGGAAGGCTGCAGGCTAGATTACGAGTATGAGTGATAATGGAAGGAAAGAGAGATCGATGCGAATATCAATACAGTAAAACGGGGGGGCTGAGATCTGGCTGATAGACACTCATCGGGCGATTGATGGATCGCCATGAAAGTGTTGTACAAAGGTCTTGAAGGTATGGAATTAGTTTTCTATTTCATTAAAAAAAACTATTATTTAAACATTATTTTAAAACGATGGCTGATATAAAGACACGTTATGGGTTGTTTTGGGGGACAGCCTGAGACATCATTATTAGTCGGTACGCTGAATGTTCTTCCTGAGGGGGCATTAATGAGAACCTAAAGTTTCTTGAGAAGTTGTGAATGACAGTGAAAGTTTTTTGTTGGTACAAATGCAAAAGGCTTTCAGGCAAAGCAGGATACAGAGCTCACAACCAGGTTTGATTTTTTTATTTATTTGTCTGTTTTTCATACATACACAACTCCCGTAGAGCACTCTGTCAAAGCTTTTAGCACTCCTTCATCCAGTCTTCTTTGCGTTCTAATGGTTGAATCCAGCCATCCACTGCATTTGGCCCTTCTGAGAACCCTGATTCATCTCCTCCAGCTTCTTATGCCACCAGTGAAAAGATCACTTTCACTTTTGAGGGGGGAAAACGACTGAACAGGAACTAGACCAATGTTAGACATAAAGTGTGTTTTTAGGGCTTGGTATGGGGTTATGGGTTTGAAATAATACTTTAAAATGTGACAGTTCTGACACAACAGAAGAACGTGCGGAATAACAGACAATAAATTCAGGCTCTGCTGCAGCAATTTAGATCATATTCCAAACTGTCCCTCATGCCCCCCCCCCCCCCCCCCCAGACCCCCCCTGAATTCAATTCTAAGCAGTTTAAGTCTGTATGCTCTATTTTTGGAGTTGGAAATCCCTTGGTACTGGTGACACCACGGGTAGCAGGTGAAATCAAAGGAGCCATGAGACATAACAATCACAAAAAGCTGTGCAGAGCTTCGGCGTGGAGTAGCGAACCTGCATTAATCCAAACATTCTGCTTTCTTTGAAGTAAATGGCTCCATCAAACTCACACACGCTCATTTTTTTTTCTTTTCTACACAGAAATCACCTCTTCAGGCTCAATCTGGAAGACCTGACACTGATCCAGGTGAGTGCTAATTCGCTCCGTCTCCCTGGTTCTCACCCGGTCTGACGGGCCAAATATTCCAGATGACAACGAGCGCGTGTGTGTGTGTTCGCCCTGCGTCTGCTCTCTAGCGGTCACACGCCGGCGCAGGCACCCGCCCGCCCGCCTCCGACCCGCTGCCGCCGGCTGCCACGACTTTGGAGCCGTTACAGTAAAATGGTTTAGCGCTTCACATGTCACAACAACCTCCCATCCAGGGGAGTGACAGTGGGTCGGGCCGACTGTGGGGTGGATACACAGGCCGAAAGTAAGAGTGATGTTATGAGGTTTAGACAACATAAATGCCGTGTGTGGTTTAAGTCCAGTTTACAACAGCACATGGCACTTTGCACATGGCACATGGCGCTATACGTTTCCTCATTTTCCAGGGCATTGACGTCTTGTAGCAGGTTCTTTTAACATTTTTGTTAAACTCTCCTGCTGTAAAATCAAATAGTCTGAAATATAAAACAGAAATGGAAGATTAACAAGTTCAGGGAAAGAGCTCTGCTTACAAAATAGACCTAAATTATTATTTTCCCCCCTTCTGCCACATGTTGTCATTTTACTTTTTTTTCCTCCATCCTCTAATTTTTCTTCCTTTTTACGCGCATTGGCCCACATCCCCCCTGTAGTGCCACGCATTTTATTACCCGCTGAGTTACCACGCAGACATTGACAGATGTAGGGGTTCTACTGCTCGATGGGAGAAACCCAGTCTGCTTTCATGCTTTTGACAACTCGCGGTGTTTGCCATTTACACCTTACGACCATGAGAGAGGATGAGGAGAGGAGACAAAGAGTATAGGATGGAACAGAAGGAGGACTGGAGGGGATGGAAATCCGCCTGTAAAGGGAAAATGAGAAAAACGTTCGGGACCAAATAAGAGTGAATTTCGTGAAGGAGTGGAGGTTCAAGAGACACAAAGGAATCGGGGAGCAGCGACACAGCACACAGACAGAGGGACGCAAACCCGCGATGATTCACGCAGTCTTTTGTGGCCCGCTCAATGGGTCACAAATGCTTTTTAAACATGCTCCGTGCCGTCCGCGCACACCAATCATCCCTCCTCCCTCACCTCATCCTGCGCTCGGCTGGCGCCGCAGAATCGCAGAGGAGATTCCGCCGACCCAATCAAGCCTTCATCGCCAAGACGTCTTCTCTTAAGAGAGTAGCAACCAGTAATCCCTGCCGAGCCTCTGGCGCCTATTCAACGTGACCTGCGCCCCCGTGTCTGCTTTGCATTTGATTGGACCGCGGCTGCAGAGTCAAGGGGGAAGGCTAAGTTCTTCTATTCACCTCCATCTGAAATCCTCCCGTCTCTTTCCTGCTTCTTCATCCCGGCATTAAACGGGAGAGCAATTGCACCGAGATTCGGTTGCCTCCGTGGCCGGATACAAAAGACTTGAATGAATTTTCCCCCTTTTTTCACCTATTTTGCCCCACTCACATTACACGCTTTGCCTATTGATCACATAAATTGGCGAGGGACAATGGTGCCGAGCGTCAGAGGGAACAAAGGAAGTTTGAGCGCGGCCGTTAGCAGCCCGGCGGATTTCTCTTTTGGTTGCAATGACAGTTGCATGAGGTGTTTTTAAAAAATGTTTCCTTCCTTCCTCCCTTCCCTGCAGATGGCAAACAAGCTAAAAGCTACACCTACGCTTTCCTTTGTCTTTTCACCCCAACCCCAAGCATCAGGCGTGTCAGATAATGCCCACTGGCGGCGATTTGTTCTCAGCATGGCTGGCAGGGTACAGAGGGAGGCTGTGTAGGCTTAGAGTCCGTGTAATACAAACCCACCCTTTAACAGCTAAAGAGGTGGATATCATTACCATGATCGATGACGTGCACAGCTCATCTTGTATGTGCATTCCTGAAAGATTTATGAAATCAACAGTCAAGGACCGATCCCGCCCACTTTTCTTGCCCTTGGCTGCCTTTTAGGATGAGTTGTGTTCAAGCATTGTGCAAGGCAGACAATAAACTCTGGGTGCTTGGTCGGCTTATCGTAGTGTTATGGAAGGTTTAGAGTGTGATGACACTTAGCGTGGTGGCTAAACACTGCCGGTGTAACCTGCTCTATTGCACATATTGAGTTTGGACTCACGGATCGATAAGCCTGAGCCCGGCAACCCTAATCTCTGCAGTAAATGCCCTCCTCGCTTGAAAGTAATACAAAGTGAACAAGAACACCAGATGTAGGAGAGAGTGGGGGAACTTTGTTGGTGAAGTTGGAAAATAGTTGATGTGAGGCCATATCAGAACTTTTCCGATTCGACGGCTAGCCCTCAATTTTTCTTCGTTAGTAAATCTTAGAAGTGGGAAAAATGTGAGTCCCTTCTGAAAGAACCTGTTTACATAACAGGAAGATATTTTGAGCATCACATAAATATATGCAAACTGAATGGCAAGTGTGAAGAATCAGACCTTGAAACGTACACTAAGCAATCGCCTTGACCTTGATCGGAGTTAATATCTGGTACTTAAAGTGCGTGAAGAGGCCTTCCTCTCCTTCTCAACCGCAACCGTCCTCCTTACAGATCAGGACCAAAAGCTGGTTAATGGTCTTCTCGCTTTCCTTTTAAACTGGTGCAGCTGAAGCGGAGGAAAAAGACCTTTAAAGCCAACTCGGCCAAAGACAAAGCAACAAAAACACAAACCATACAGCGCAATTTCCTCCCTCCAACTTCAGGTGAATCACGTGTCATAGCTCCCATCTGATCTGGATCCTCCCCGTCATCCCCATTGTCCACCTCCCACTGCCTGCTGCAGAGAGCGCACAAACACCAATGAGCTCTGCATCAGCAGTGTGTTTAGTTCCCCATTGTGCTTCCGGGCCTGATGAATCACCGAACGCGGATCTGACGGTACACCTCGGCGCAGCGTTTCCGTCTGCCAAAGTGTTCCTTAAGTAACGCCTTTTGACGTCGTTGAGTATCTTAATGCAGTCACCCCCGGTTACCTGCTTTTAGTCACATCTTTATACTTCCACGCCTGGTATGGTGTACCTGGTTTTATAACTGGCTAAACACATTTCATTCTGGTCTTGAAAGCCAAAGTATCTCATTTGCAGGCACAGTAGGAGCTTGTTAAATTCACAAAAATCCGCTGCAGCGGTGCTAATGTAAGAAGACATTAAATAAGGAAGATGTTAGAATCCAATATAAGCGTGCTGGTTGCGTGCTAAATGAACCAGGAGTTTCAACAGAAACACCGTGGCACAGCGTTAGGCAATAAGCACTAGGATGAGGAGGATCAGTGGCATTGTTTACTATTCCATAACGCACCTGAGGAGAAAAATAGTGGATATTCGTTCAGGCCCCTCAAAAAAAAAAAAGTGTCCATAACAGCTCCTTTTGGCAACAGTCAATGAATGGTGTTTGGTGCATGTTGTCCCTCCATTTGACTTCACCTCGTATGGTGTCGGTGCGACGGAGGCTTCAGTCACACGTGTCGTATTTCATGCTTCCTGCAATCTTACTTCAACAGGGGGACAATTAGAGCAGATAATCGGGGCTTAGAGAACCTGTTACTGGAAGCATTGCTAATTCAATTACCAGACCCAGTAACTGTGCCATTCACATGCATTGGGGTGAAACGCCACCACGGGGGGATTGGAGATGCAAATACCAGCACATTCAGTGATATCAAGCAAGTAGTGGGAGGCCTGTGCACGGGGGGGTCATTATAAATTACACTTATCTTTTTTGCGCTTTTGCGACGCAGATGCGCAGACCTGCACATCTGCTGAGACGTGACAGAAAGACCAATGTCACGCGGTAAATCTTTCAGCCGCTTACATCAGCAGACATCAGTGTGGATAGTACAGGGAATAATATTGTGCCAGCACGTCAAAAGGCAATATCTGCCGTTCTTAAGACAGATTAGGTTTTCCCCCGGCAGGATCGGTCCAGCTCTCGCTCTCCACTCGCTGTCCCCTTGTGTTGAGGCGCACAGCCAGTGGTTTTCATGGAACTGGACAGCTGTCAGCAGCGAGCGTGTTCGCCGGACCCTGTTAGTACAAAAATGCATTCAGCGATGATGTCTGGAAAACAGTTCTGTTTTACAATTCAACTCCTCACTGCCTCCTCCGTGCCTCTGACTGTTTCCCTCGGCCCACACTGTCTCCGTTGTTCTGCCTCTGTTTCGTCTTTGTTGTGTGTTTTTCCCCCCCCCCCCCGTTATTTTCCTTGTTTTTTTTCTTCCTGTCTTCTGCTCTGTCTGCGTTCTCTGCCTGCCCACACTCCCTCCCCTTGTATCCGTCCTGAACGCACCTCGACCACAATGGTGCCTTCAGTGTGTGAGCGGCGAATGCTTGGTCAGTGGGCGTCACTCCAAACTATCGCGCTCCAAGGAACCCGGCTTTGCGACACAGACAGCGGCCTGCTGGGTCCATCTCCTCCACCCTGACCAAACCACCTGTCTCACTCTTGGTACTACGTCAGTAGCTGTGTGGCCTGATTATGGTGACGGTGGGTTTATTCGGAGAGAAGTAACCCGCTGGTTAGTGGGCTCACACCAAATGTTTCACGTTCAAGTCTAGGCTTGTTTATAGTTTTATATTTGGTGATTTTAATGTGGTGTCTTTGAGTACTATGAAAGGCAACATTATTGTCATTACAGCGTTTTTACGACCATCTATGTTTTGTTCTGTTTTTTACTCTGGATGTTGTCAGCTGTTCACAAATCTTTACATTTTATATACTGCGTGATACTGAGTGAGCAATTTTATCATGCATAATAAAATGGAAAAAACAGTTGCAATAAACCATAATTATCCCCTTTAAGTTGTATAGCTCTTCCTCTCCCGAGAGGATTAACCATGCTCAAGTTGGTACTATTCAGTTTTATTATTTTCTTACATATTTTGTGACAAAGGCACAAAAACAGTCTTTGTAATGCAGCTTTCTTTCACAAAGCCAATCATTATTTAACGAGCGGATTTCTGTTCGAGACATATTCGTCTTCAGCGCAGTGGCCGAACAAAACCATGTTAATGAGATTTTAATGTTTCTTAATGGCACCGGCACATGTGATTCTGTTCTTTAGTTTGGACCATTTGATGCAGGCCGGTGAGATAGAGGGTTCTCGTGGTCAATCACATCGTCATATTCCCACTTACAGACCTACAGAACTCACCCTTTTCAGCCTTCAGGTTGATTTCTTAAAGACGAGATGAAATGAACCATTTCAACCCTTGTATTAAACACATTTCCTCTCATGTTGCGCACCATCGTCATGTATATCAAATAGCTGATGAAAAAATAGATTTCTGCACCACCACACAATCTCACATATTCATGAAATCAAATCAATCACCACGAATCAATATGCAACTCTCAGCAAGTGTGTGTGTGTGTGTGTGTGTGTGTGTGTGTGTGTGTGTGTGTGTGTGTGTGTGTGTGTGTGTGTGTGTGTGTGTGTGTGTGGAGCCACAATCCTCTGTAGCTTCTCTGCCACACAGGCAGAGACCACTAATCAGAGGATCTGATCTCCTCCTGTCCGCATGTTGACATGGCCTTGGACAAGATAGTGAAACCCAAATAGCTCCCGACGGCTGGCTGTGCCGTTGGTGTGTAACTAAGCAACGGTTTGGATGGGTAGTTGGTCAGCTTGTCGGCTCGTGTTGCCATCAGTGTGTGTGTGACCACGTGACTGTTGACAGCAATGTGGTTACAAGATTAAAAAGGTTCTATTGTAGTAAAGTCCATTTTACGTTTGAATGCTGAAGCCGCTCGCCCACCGAGCAGCAGCCCAAACGAAGGCAAAGCCTTTGACAGGAATCGGCTCAAAGTATGCCGCTTCACAAGAGAACACGTCACATTAAAGTGGAAGATAAAAATGACCTGTAACACTGTTTCAGGTGATGATAAATCACATTCTCGCCCCGTAATGATAAAATCAACCCCCCCCTACACACACACACACACACACACACTCCCGCCCCCTCCATCAATGTAATCTCAAGTTGTAATTTTGCGTCGTGTTGTGATTGATTTTCACCGTGAGTGAGTGAGCGAGTGAGTGAGTGAGTGAGTGAGTGAGTGAGGTCTCAGGCCATTACCAGGTCCATCCCCCCCCCCGTCTCCTCCCCCGTCCCCTCCCCCGGCGATCTGTGAAAGCGCCTTTCAGCCCCTTCCCTCAATTCAGCTGGGACACGCTGGGACTGCTGTGTGCGCAGACTGTGCTGCTTGTGCCGATATGTGTGGTTTGTGTGTGTGTGTGTGTGTGTTGTCTGCGCAGCCCCAGAATAGCCGGCTTTTGGCCTGGAATGTGAACCCGCCAAACGCGCCCACGCCCACAGAGAAGCTCACCAGCTCACATTAATACTCCATATCTTATCCTCCCTGAATAGCCGCCCGTCCCCCCCGTCCCCCCCGTTCCCCCCCTTCAGCTTTCTTCCTCTGGCTAAGCTCCCTCCTTTTACTGCCTATGTGTGCGTTTATGTGTCAGTCTGCACACACGGGCCGGGTGGCTACGCTCCTCCCAGAAGGCGAAAGCAAAAGCCTCGTCATAAAACACACACACAGGAAGCTCGAAGAGGAAATTAAATAAGTCTTCCTCAGAGCTGAGAGGGGGGGCTCAGCTTTTGTTTTTCCCTCTTTTTTTTTTCCGGCACAGAAGCGTCCTGATGCCAAGGACAAATCTAATATTCTCCAATATGTTAGCGATATTTACTATACTCCCACAGGGAGTGAGGGCCTCGCTCCCTTTGCCAACAGCCAGGTAATAACGGCTGGAAACTCTGGTCCACGTGGCCCAAAGAAGCGGCTGGTTCCGGGGCCAACACACATTACATGAATAGAGAACTTTTATCACTAAGAACTTCCCTCCCTAGAGATGATGCTGAAATTAAACGGTAGAAATTGGAACACGCTGGTGTCTGGACGCGTTGAGGTTTTATCTCCTCATTCCTTTCTTTCCTGTAGTAAAATGGAAAAAAGGCGGCCCGCTGTTTCTTCCTCACATGTAAATCACGTCGACATCCTACTCTGGGGGACATGCGCTTTACGCCTCGAAGACGGTTTTTTTTTTTTTTTTTCCCTTTCGCATTAATCAAATCCGGGCATCGGGCTCTGGCGCAACCCTGTCGCTCCTTTCTCGAGGTATCTGCCGGCTATGCACCTTAATTGGATTCTGTGTATTTAACCTGGTTTACAAACTCGGATGTGCTGTAGTTCTGTGTTTGCGGGTGTCTATGTTTGGGATTTGAGAGCACAGTGATGTCAAATTTGTTCCATGTTAGCTCGTGCTTTAATCCATACCTCCTACTCAAGACAAAAGAACAATCAGCGGCCAGAGATCAATGCTTTACAAGCGCCTGACGCACAACACGGCCTTCCGTTACTTTTGTGACTGTGTTTCATGTTTTTTTTTGTCCTTTTTATTGCTTATCATCAGCAGATATTGCATTGATGGAATGATGGAGAGATACACATTGTTTTTCTTTGGATTTGAGTGGTTTATTAAATTGGTTCGCATCTGATGCTTGAGTCTGCTGGATGGTTTATTTTGAGCCTAATGCTGCTTTTCTGTCTCTCCGCAGGAGGCTGAGTGGCATTGCGATGAGTTCACCAAGGGAGCCTGCTTCAGCCGTGGAAAATCCGAGGTGAGTTTGAGTGATGCCTGAGCTTTTAAAATGTCACACTGTTATATTGCTTCACCTGACACATGAGGAAAAACAAGTTATATTGTAAAAAAAATGTCTCGTCCCCTGTAAAAGTACACGTCAGAATTAGCTCCATGTTTGCGACTTTGCAGCTAACGAAATCTATTAGTTTTAATAAAGACAATTATAGGGGATTCAAGTGTTCATTATCTTATTAAGTTTGTTGGTGTGTGAAGGACAAAAAGCCTCAATCATAAACATCCTACCACACAACAAAAAAAAATCAATTGTTTTCTTTCTCCCACGAACAAAATGGCTCACAAACAATAAATCCTGCAGTGGTAGTGCAGGGGTCTACAAACATGTTAGCATGTTAGAATAGATTAAATTAGCTCGAGACCACATCAAATCAATTAAATGTCAAGTGAAGATAACACATTTTAGTAAACTGAAAGCAATGTGGAGCTCTTAATACAGCTTTAAAATACAGACTCCCTGGGAATCCCTGCTTTGAATCAAAGATCACCCTCAAAAAGGATCTAAATCAACTTGTTCTGACATAAAAAACTTTCCAAACCAGCGGCACACCCCTTTTTATAGGCCTTCTAAAGGGAGTTCCTTTGTTGTTGTTTTTGTAGTTTAGTTCAGTGCAGATGTGTGTGTTTTTGTATGTGGTCAGCTGGCAAACTGCTGTCTACCAAACAGCTGCTCCAGAACTGCGCTTGACTTGTAGGTGAACTGGCCGGGCCCGATCCCTGTATGTTTGTGCACCGCTGTGTATTTATGCTACTGTGAAAGGTGGTCAGGAGCCCATAATAACCGTGCACGGGCCGGCCAGCGCATGAGATAGCTGCGAATTACAGACCCAAGCTACCTCGGCCCCTTGGAAGTCACTGCTGTCGCCAGGAGTCAAATTGTTTTGCTCACTGCTCCCCTCTGAGACGTCAGGTCATGTGATGAACACCGAGAATAGCATTAAAAGACGCCTTTTTAGAGGCAGTTGACAGGGAGGGTCGATGGTTTATTACCTAGCTCAGCGTGCAGCAGTATAGCATCGCTTAAGCTGTTATACAGACACCGTTCCTGTGCTCTGAGTGAATTTACAAGTCATTGTTGTTTTCCCCCCCCCCCCCCTAATGCACGCGTCCGCTCTTCTCTCGTGTGTTTGATTTATTCCACCGGGAGAAGAAAGGAGAGTTAAATTGACTTGACGGGACTTGATTGCAGCTGCAATTTTGTTTTATAATGCAAGAGCCGAGCACAACAGCCTCCGCGTTACAGTACAGACGTGGAACATTTGTCACAAAGTTTTTTGTAAACAAGCCGAGGCTGTAAGGCAAATATTAGATATGCGGTTGTTTACCGCGGAAAGAAACTGCAGGGGAAGAATTTAATTACGCAGACGCCCCACGAACCAACCTCAATCCTGCAGCGACGCGCACACATCTACGTAGGTATACAGGGCACAATGATCTGCACAATCAGCACAGGTATGTAAGCGTACCTAACATGTTTTACTACACACACACACACACACACACTGTTTTCAAAAGGCACACACATCAATGCGTGCACACCAGGGACGAGTTGTTTTATGAGTCAACCTTCATCTTGATGGAGGGGGGGGGGGGTAAAGGCCCACCCCTTCCTTTCTCCCGCCATCTCTCCAAAGGGTGCCCTCCACTAGTACAAAGCAGGAGGAGGGTGGTGTAGCCCCTGGGAACCTTGAGTGGCTCGGACAGAAGCCAATTTACAGGGTTTTAAATGTTCCAAATCCAATAAATTTATTACATGGTTCTGGGACCTCGAAAAAGGAAAAAAAAAATCAAATAACCGTCGCTCTCTGTCATGAATACTGACAAGCTGTTGTTTTCCATGATTGAAATCCCCAGTAAACCTGCATGAAAGCCCCGTGGCGATGTTGTAAGTTCATGGCATTCAGTGGCAATTCATCACTCCGTCAATCATTCACCACTTCTGCACCGCTTTATTTGTCGCATACTTTTAACGGAGCGCTGAGCGGTTTGCTGGAAGCTCGGGCCAAAACCTCAGCGGAGGAGCGAGCCACCAGAAGAGAAAAACTTGAACTTGAATTGATAAATGTAGAGCGCATGCCCGGCATGCTTTAACTAAAGAGCATAAGAAGCCGCTCCTTCTTTTCACTTTTTGGACGGCTTGAACAAAGCAGGGAGGCAGTTTTCTAAACTAACCCCGAGTGGTCCTCTCTCATGCCTGCTGCTTTTATTGGCTCTCCACCTCTCTCCAAATCTTGTTTCCCGTTGCACTAAGATGTGACGCGCCTCAGCCTTGATTTGACTCTCGTCGGGCTCGGCCACGTTTTTCCAGCGGCCCTCCCGCAGTCGCAGGTGTTTTTCTCATTCATTTGGCGTAACGTGTGCTTTTGTTTTCTCTCCCTTAATGCTGCTGCCCGTCGATGGATAAATGACGATGTCTTTCCACAGGAGGAGTGCCAGAACTACATCAGGGTGCTGCTGGTGAACGGGAACAGGCTGTTCACCTGTGGAACCAACGCCTTCACCCCCATTTGCACCAACCGGACGGTACGAACAACAGCTGCTATTTTTCACAAAATAAAAGGTGGTATTTCTCTGGTCAACACAATCCTAGTTTTTTGCCGTTATATTTGGAATGAAGTGTTTGTTAACAAATAATGTATGGTAGTTAGACAGATTATCCTGAAAAACACGTTTTATTTTACTGACTTGATTTCTCATGTCTACTTGTGCTGCTCTTATATAAACCGCCACCACTATCCTATTATTTTAAAAAGCCAACGGTGGCTGTTTAGCGACGTGAAGGACTGAGGAAAAAGGATTTCAGCATTGAGTGGAAGTGGCCGCTCGCGCTGGACGAACTAAATGAGAAAGTCAGAAAGCAACAAGCGTTCCCGCTAACAAGGCTAACCGAACACCACGGCCACCCTGACTAATATAACTGTCAGTGACATGTCCCTCGCTTTAAGCAATTAACAGCCCCCCCATCAGCGCGGTGCAAGATTGAAGGTGACAGCAGCCATGGTGCCGATTTTCTTTTTTCTATTATAAGCCGCATTTGTTTGTCAGTCACATGTAATACCCCCCAAGAAATAAATCTGGTCATTAGCCTTCAATAGCAATATGATAGTGATATTTCAACCAGGGAGAAGCTTGATCATTTTTGCAGAGATAAATTGAGGTGTTCTTGATCAAACTGACAATGTCAGATGGAAAAAACCAAGGTTGATCGACAAATTGAATCAAGACGCGACGTTGTTGTGAGCTTGACACCAAAAGGATTTAATGCAGTGGGACTGTTCTCGCTTCCTCTAGTGCGCCTTCAGGTGTGCAGACTAATTACAAAATGAATCTCATTTAGTTTGGTTATTTAAAAAGTCTTGTTTCCTCAAAATTGTTAAACATCATAATCAAAATGTTGCTTTGAGCTCATTACTCACAATAATACATCCTGGTCTCTTCTTTGCGGCTGTGCCCTTTTTTGTGAGTCATTGCCGTTACTTACATTAACTCTATTTTATCTATATAAATAGTTTTTTTGCTCAGTGAAGTTTAGTAGAGACCGCCATCTAAAATGTTAGAACATATGAAATGCGTCCGCTTTGCCTGCATTTGAGAGCTGCCGCAGTTTTTGTTTTGGATCCAAAAAGCACCGAACCCAAAAGGTCACAGGCTCATAATTTACTGTTTACCGCTGTGAAAGTACATATAGTTGAAATGTCATGACATTATTATAGCAGTATTTCATCGGGGGCTGTCGTACTTACACAACGAACGTTGTTAATGTGAAACACAGATCGTTTGTCAGCCGTGATGGATGAACAGGTGAGTAGCAGAAGATTCTGTTGGTCTAATAAATGTACGGCTCTCATGTCTAAATGTTTGATATGAAGCTACATAATTCATAATAATATGGGACACCTTTGCTCAGGTTGGGATCGTCTTCCTACGCCAGTAGAAAAAAATAATAATTAATGGATCCCTGACAAGAATGTAATTCAAAAGAGATTACTTCTGTCGCGGCTCGTGAGAGGGATCCAAAAGCAAACACCGGAACCAGGTAAAGTATAAACACAAAATGCGTATTTATTGTCTCTCTTCCCAAACGACAACTCAAATACTCAGGCCTTCCGGCAATGCACCGCCGTCGTCGGCGGCGTCCCGTGTCTCCCTCGTGACGTAGGAATGGAAGCCACTGAAGTCTCCGGACCCAGGAAAACGCGTGTCTGGAAAGCTGTACTCGGCAATCCCTCGGCGCCGAACCTCTGAAAGATGTCCCTCTTTAACTGCTCCCTGAAGACTTGCAGCAGCTGCCAGCGATGAGTGCACTCCTCCCAGCTGCCCTGCATCAATCTGATTAGGCCACAGAAGAGAGAACAAGAGTCCCACCCGCTACCTCCAGAATTACTGTGGCTCCCCCTTGTGACCCTGTCCCGTATCCCCACAGTACCCCCCCCTCAACGGGCGCCTCCTGGCGGCCGCCCGGGCTTACCCGGATTGTCCCGATAGAACTCCCGGAATAATGTGGAGCCAAAAATCTGCCGGCGGGGCAGCCAAGATCGTTCCTCCGGTCCATACCCCTCCCAATCCACCAGATATTGAAACCCCCGCCCCCGACGCCGGACGTCCAGTATCCGGGAAACCCTGTGTGCTGGATGCCCCTCGATGACCAGGGGAGCCGGGGGAGCATTGGCCGGAGGGCTGAATTCGCTCTCCCCCACCGGTTTCAACAGCGAGACGTGAAACGTCGGATGTACCTTCAGGGCCGCCGGCAGGGTCAGACGAACCGCCGAAGGGTTGACGATCTGTTCGATAGGGTATGGTCCGACGTACCTTGGGTTCATCTTGCGGCCCTCCGTTGCCAGGGGGAGGTCCTTCGCGGACAACCACACCTGCTGTCCTACCCTGTACGCCGGTGCGGGGACGCGATGTCGGTCAGCCATCTTCTTGTTGATCTCCCCCGACCGGGTGATAGCTGCCCGCGCCGAGTCCCACACCTCCTGAATCCGCCGGAGATGGTCATCGACGGACGGGACTGCCACTGCTGCCTCCTGGATCTGAAACAACGGGGGCTGAAAACCGAAACAGACCATAAATGGCGACATCCCCGTAGCAGAACGTGACAGGGAATTGTGGGCATACTCCACCCACGGCAGGAACTTGCTCCATGACGCCGGATGCCGCGCCGCGATGCACCGCAACGCCGACCCCAGGTCTTGATTTGCCCGCTCAGTCTGTCCGTTGGACTGTGGGTGATACCCTGAAGATAAACTGGCCCTTGCCCCCACAGCCCTGCAAAACGCACCCCATACCTTAGACGCGAACTGCGGTCCTCTGTCGGATACAATGTCCATAGGGATCCCGTGAATCCGGAACACATGCAAGACCAACAGCTCGGCGGTCTCCAACGCAGAAGGCAGTTTGGTGAGGGGAACATAATGAACCGCTTTGGAAAAACGGTCCACTATGGTCAGAATGGTTGTGTTCCCGTCGGATGGAGGCAAGCCCGTAACAAAGTCCACCCCGATGTGGGACCACGGCCTGCCCGGGACAGGCAATGGTTGCAGCAGGCCCGCCGAGGCCTGGTGCGAGGCCTTACCTCTGGCACATTCGGGGCACGCCGCCACAAACGCCCTCGTGTCTCGATCCAGTCCCGGCCACCAAAACCGCTGACGAATGAAGAGAGCCGTCCGTCTCGCCCCCGGATGACACGTCAGCTTCGATGAATGGCCCCACTGAAGTACCTGCGATCTGACCGTCCGTGGCACGAACAGGCGGTCCGCTGGTCCCCCCTCTGGCACCGACTCCCCCCGCTGCGCCTCCTGCACCACCGACTCGATCTCCCAAGTTGCCGCACCTACAAAACACTCGGACGGAAGTATGGGCGTGGAATCCGGTGATGCCGGCGGCGGGAAGATCCTGGAAAGGGCGTCCGGCTTGCCGTTCTTGCTTCCCGGGCGATAGGACAACGTAAACTGGAAACGGCTGAGGAACAAGGCCCACCGTGCTTGTCGGGAATTCAGCCTCCGAGCTGCCTGGATGTACGCCAGATTCTTGTGATCCGTCCAAATCCAGAAGGGCTGCAGGCTACCCTCCAACCAATGCCGCCATTCCTGTAGCGCGAGGACCACTGCCAGCAGCTCCCGATTCCCGACGTCATAATTCTTCTCCGCCGGACTCAACCGTTTGGAGAAGAAAGCACATGGATGTAACTTCTGCGTTGACGGATCTCGCTGAGACAGAACGGCCCCGACCCCTGCTTCCGACGCATCCACTTCCACCACAAACTGCCGAGCGGAATCAGGGTGCCTAAGAATAGGGGCGCTGGTGAAGAGAGACCTCAATTTACTAAACGCCCCCTGTGCTTCTGGCGTCCAGCAGAAGGATGCCTTGGTGGATGTTAGCGCGGTGAGAGGTGCGGCCACTCTACTGAAGTCCCTCACAAACCGGCGATAAAAATTTGCGAACCCCAGGAACCGCTGTAAGTCCTTCCGCGTGCCCGGGATCGGCCAGTCTGCTACCGCTCGAATCTTATCAGGATCCGGTTCCACCTGCCCCCGCGCAATCACGAACCCGAGGAAACGAACCGACGCCACGTGAAATTCGCACTTCTCGGGTTTAACGTATAGCCTGTTTTCCAAAAGTCGCCGCAGCACCAGTCGCACCTGTTGCTGGTGCTCGGCGAGGGACCGGGAGAAAATCAGGATATCGTCCAGATAAATGAAAGCGAAGCTACTGGTGATATCCCGAAACAGATTATTCATTAATGACTGGAAGACGGCCGGGGCATTTGTCAACCCAAACGGCATGACCCGATACTCGAATTGCCCCATGGGCGTGTTAAAGGCCGTCTTCCATTCATCACCTTCGCGGATACGAACCAAATGATAGGCGTTTCGGAGATCCAGCTTGGTAAAAAACTGCGCCTGAGAGAGAGGTTCGAATGACGGGTCGATTAACGGCAATGGAGTCTTATTCTTTATCGTGATTCGATTCAAGCCCCGATAGTCAATGCACGGACGCAGTGAGTGGTCCTTTTTCTCAACGAAAAAGAACCCCGCGCCTAACGGGGCGGACGAAGGACGGATGAAACCCGCGTCCAGGCACTCCCGAATGTATTTTTCCATTGCTAACCGTTCCGGGCGGGAGATGTTGAAAAGACGGCTAGTGGGCAGCGGAGCCCCCGGGAGCAAGTCTATCGCACAATCGAAAGGTCGGTGCGGTGGCAGAGTACAAGCCTTGTCCTTACTAAACACCTGCGCAAGGTCATGGTAGACTGATGGAACCGTGGATAAGTCTGGAGGAAGTGATGGTACCACTGACGTCGCTGGTGTTCCCCCCGCAGCCCGCAGACACCGGGCATGACACCCCACGCTCCAGCCCGCGATGGCCATAGTTGTCCAATCCACCATGGGGTTATGAAGTTTTAACCACGGGAGACCCAGCACGATCGGACTCGCCGGAGACGGAATAATTAGCAACTGAATGGTTTCTGAATGGTTTCCCGATATACGGAGCGTGAGGGGGCCTGTGCGATGCGTGACCCGGCTGATCAGTCGACCATCTAGCGCGTTAACTGCCCTGGCGCTCTCGAGCGTCTCTAACGGTACTCGCAACCGTGCGGCTAGTCCCTCGTCCATAAAATTAGCATCAGAACCGGAGTCCACGAGGGCGGTGGTCGAGTGATTATGGGAATGAAACAGTAGAATGGCCGGAATGGAAATACGGGATGGGATAGTAGAGGACGCTGCGTTACTCACCAGGAGGTCCTCTCCGCCTGGTGAGGAGCCCCGTTTGGGGACTCCGGACAGTTCCTAGCATAATGTCCCGCGCGTCCGCAATACAAACACAGTCGACGACTAAAACGCCGTTCGCGTTCGGACGGAGTCAACCGAGCCCGCCCCAACTGCATCGGCTCGCCCGCGCCTCCCGAAAACTCCCCCCCCGAGAACTGCGGACGCGACGGCCGCCTCCCCCGCTCGCGTTCACGTTCCTGAATGCGATTATCCATCGTAATTGCCAACGAAATAAGCTGCTCCAAAGTGGTGGTGGCGTCGCGAGAGAGCAGCTCGTCTTTCAGGGTCTCCGACAGGTTCCGCGCAAAAATGGTCCTTAGCGTGTGTTCGTTGGCACCGCTCTCGGCGGCAAGGATCCGGAACGAGATAGCAAAGTCCGCCACTGATTCAGACCCCTGCCGCAGCGACAGCAGCCTATTCAAAGCATCCTGCCCCCGCACCGGGTGGTCGAACACACGTCGCAGTTCCTCAGAAAAACCCGCGAAAGAGCTCAACGCCGAGGACTGACCCCCCCACAACGCGGTCGCCCACTGGGCCGCCCTTCCCCGAAACAAATTCATACAAAAAGCTATCTTGGCTCTGTCGGTGGTATAACTGCGGGGCTGCAGGTCGAACACGAGCTCGCAGTTCAGTAAGAAGCGGCCGCACCCCCCGGCTTCCCCTGCATACGGTTCTGGCAGTGGAACCCGCGGCTCCCGGTCGTTGGCGGCGTTGGTCGGACCCTGGTCCTCCTCTCTCCCTGGAGGATCCGGACCTCCCGATGCCGCAGCCCCCGACGTCCCAGGCCGGTCCATCCGTCGATTCAGCCTCTCCAAGGACTCCATCATCAGCACCAGCATCTGCTCGTGCCTCCCCACCATCGCTCCCTGGGCGCTGAGAGCCTCCTGCACGGATGCCGGGTTTGCTGGATCCATGTTGTATGGCCGAGGGATTCTGTCACGGCTCGTGAGAGGGATCCAAAAGCAAACACCGGAACCAGGTAAAGTATAAACACAAAATGCGTATTTATTGTCTCTCTTCCCAAACGACAACTCAAATACTCAGGCCTTCCGGCAATGCACCGCCGTCGTCGGCGGCGTCCCGTGTCTCCCTCGTGACGTAGGAATGGAAGCCACTGAAGTCTCCGGACCCAGGAAAACGCGTGTCTGGAAAGCTGTACTCGGCAATCCCTCGGCGCCGAACCTCTGAAAGATGTCCCTCTTTAACTGCTCCCTGAAGACTTGCAGCAGCTGCCAGCGATGAGTGCACTCCTCCCAGCTGCCCTGCATCAATCTGATTAGGCCACAGAAGAGAGAACAAGAGTCCCACCCGCTACCTCCAGAATTACTGTGGCTCCCCCTTGTGACCCTGTCCCGTATCCCCACAACTTCTCCCCACAAAGGACACAAGAGAGCAGGAAATGAGTCAATCATATTTGAAATATGTGTTTACTTAGCTCAAATAGAGAGACGTTGATCTAAATAAATATTTGAAAACAATTCAGAATGTCTTAAAGCATTATTGCATTATATTCAGTAAGGCTTCAGTAAGGCGTTTTCATGAATAAAGATATTTCTGTGATTGATTAATGCAAAAAAATCCAGGAATTTCTTGTCATACAGTGGCTGGTTGAACAATTCTCTCAACAATCACAGTAGCCTCCGAGTAGCACCGCGGGACCCAACTGGCTTCCACGTGCGCTGTGAGACGTCTCCGTCCGAAACGTCTCAGAGGGAGTCAAAGTCTATCCCAGTGTACCTCTCACACAGCTGCACCACAGAGACGACCACTTCCTCAAAAGGGCGAAGGAAGCAGTCTTTCTATTCGTCACTCCGCCTCTTTTGTGTTTCAAAAATCACCCAGTTGACCTCAAAGCATCTCTTCCGAGGGACGCTTTCATCTCGGGCCGGCGGAGCCCACACAGGGATGCTCTGTTTTGCTGAGGCTCGGGTGGAGCAGAAGGTGGCGGGGAGGGTTAACAGAACCCTCCATCCAAATCCACCGGGCTCCAGGAAATTGGCTAAAGAAGTCGTCCCCCCCCCCACCCGCCCACCCAATGCTTGTGCAAATGGCATCTGGCCTCCTGTGTAGAAGGGTTGTCTAATGGGGAATTAGTCAAAAGTGTGAGACGAAAGATTGATTTCAGCGAGCAACCGCAATTACAAATAGAGTTTACATGATCACTCGCTGATTTTAAGACTTTGATTAGGGCAATCTTTTTCACTCATACATTTTTTCCCTCAAAATTGTGGATGAACTTGCGCTAACCATGAGCGAATCCTCGTACCCAGTGTTTACTTTTGCATCATAAAATATAATTCCAGCTTGGATTTAAAAAAATGTATTACTTCTTTATGGTAATCAAGGCCGAATCATATATTCCTAGAATATATATATATTATATATATATATATATTCTAGGAACCAGTGCAGTGTGCCAGTAAAGTCTTTTTAGAGTTGGATCTGGCCTCATATTAAGAGGCGGATTGCAGGAAAGGCCACTTTTGGACAAGGAGGCTTCTCAAAATGTGGTTAAATAATGTTATAAACAGACAAACAGCTGGTTGGCCCGTAGAGACGCTAAGAAAACGCTGCAGCCGGCCAAGAGTAACTTGCCCCTGCTTCTTAACGTTGCACTGAAGGCAGCTGCCGTGGTGATGATGATTCTCTCCTGTATTTTCTGATTATATTTTGCTGCATCTGAAGGTTTTGCTGATATATATTGTCGCGTGTGTTTTGCGGTAGATGTAAACTAAACAAAACATAATGAGGAGTATTTCATTCATTCATTTCATTCATTTCATTTTTATTCACGTCCGTCTGCAGCATTTGCATATTGGAAAGAACAAACAACATTACCACACCTCTCCAGTTTGTATTTAAATGTTCCACGTTGATAGTCTGTCCTGTATTTTTAAGCAGTATTTTTTCTGCAATGATCCAATATTTGAAGTTATTATTCCTGTTCCTTTAACTCAAAGGATGCTCCTTTTAAAATATGCATATGTGTTTAAACCTTTTTGACCCCCCCCCCCTCTTCCCCCTTACATCAACCTCTTCTTTTTTTTCCCCTGTGCTGCAGCTGACAAACTTGACAGAGATTCACGATCAGATCAGCGGGATGGCTCGGTGTCCTTACAACCCCCTCCACAATTCCACCGCCCTCATCACCTCCAGCGGGGAGCTTTACGCCGCCACGGCCATGGACTTCTCTGGGCGGGACCCCGCCATCTACCGCAGCCTGGGGGGTCTGCCTCCTCTGCGCACCGCCCAATACAACTCCAAGTGGCTCAACGGTAAGGGGTTCAGATATAATAGAGGCGTTGTAGACATAGAGGAGCGTGGTTGATGCTTATCTACCACAGAGTATCTAGTCTCTGGTGGAATATAGCAAATACTGGAAAAGCTCAATTCAAATTGCTCTTTTTCATTTCATCAGCAAAATTGATTACTTGTATTTGCTAAGCACCTCTTTATATTTATCTCAACCTTTCTTTTAGGTGCATGGGAAAGTGGAATTGTCTGAAATCAATGCATCTTTCCCTAAAAGTTCAGGGCGCACTTCAAGCACAAACCTCCCGAGTGCTGATTGGAGAGCATCAGACAGCTTAAGGGGTCCGGCCTACAGAGGAGTGGGTCAATCAGTATCTTGTCAGCAAGTGACTTTTATCTGATTCACATTTAAACTAAATTGAAAAAATAAATTAAACGGCACCACCTACATTGCTTTACAGCAACCTCCTGGGAAAAAAAGGTTTAATAACTAATTTTATGGGGAATTGATTTCTTTCTCCCTCTGTCTCCCCGTGCGCTGCCCTCCAAAAGGTGCAGGGAAGAGGAGGTGGGGGGGGGGGAGAAGACACTTTCATTTAACAGTGGATTAAATCACTGTCAGCGGGAATAAAGTATGCGGATTCGATCCAATAATGTCATACATAAAAATGAACGGCGTAGCTGTAACAGTGTCGTGGAGGTCGCGTGTTTCAGACAGGTTGAAAGCTATTACGTTACACCTGTTTTGGTCCTTTCTGATTCTGACCTTTGGGCTTAGGAAGTGAAAAATGAGTTTTCTTATTGCAACACAGCGCCATTAATAACATGGCCCGTGGTTATTAATCCTGATCACCTGCTGCTGTGTGGGCCGAGCAAACCCCCGCGAGTCAATCGGTCATAACACAGCCGCTCTCCCACTCACTCTTTCTCCCACCGCCTTAAATATTATCCTTCTTTCTGTGTTTCTTCTTCCTCTCTCTGCACTGCGCCCATCTTTCGGAAGCTCCCTTCATTTGTTTAAAACGTTTGTTTGTTTTTTCTCTTTCTTTCTCCCACTCATTTTTCTCGTCTCTTTCCCACTTCTCCTTCGGCAGAACCAAACTTCGTCTCCTCCTACGACATCAGCAACTTCACCTACTTCTTCTTCCGGGAAAACGCGGTGGAGCACGACTGCGGCCGGACGGTGTTCTCCCGCGCCGGGCGCGTTTGCAAGAACGACATCGGCGGCCGCTTCCTCCTTGAAGACACGTGGACCACCTTCATGAAGGCCAGGCTGAACTGCTCCCGCCCGGGTGAAATACCCTTCAACTACAACGAGCTGCAGGGGACCTTTTACCTGCCCGAGCTGGAGCTGCTCTATGGGATTTTCACCACTAACGTGTGAGTGAGAGGAGATTTTACAGAGTCAATGACCATAATTACCGCTCATTCTCGTCATTATATGCCGACAAAATGTATGACAAGCCACAACTGACTGTTAGCATGACCTGGGAGCTTCTTGAGTTCATTGAGTCCGCGGTAATGATTGTGACATTCATCTCAGCGAGAGGAGGACAGCAGAGGCTTTTCCTTTATTATTTATTTCCATTGCATTGAGCCGAAGTGTTTTATCCGAGGCGACGGACATTAAGTGCATCCAACCGTGAGGGTATAGACCCAGAACAAGTAGTATCAAGGGGGTGCAATTTCTTTAAGAAAGCGAAACCACAAAGTGCTATAAGTAATTGCAATGTAAGTGCTACTAAAGTGCTACCTATTCGAGGTATAGTTGGAAGAGGTGCGTTTTTAGTTTGTTGCGTAAAGTATATTGATTTCCTGCTGTCCTGATGGCATCTGGCAAACAGTTGTGTGATACTGACTGAACCCAGCAGGTTTTATTAGCAGTAAATGGACAGCAGATTAAGCTATTGCATACAGAAATTTTATTTTGTCGATCAATGTGTTTTATTGTGGTTTGCATACAATTTTTATTTCAAGATATTCAATCGTCGCAAATAATCAGTTAAAATCAATTATCAAGTTATTCGCTTCATACTTTTAAAAAGGTTTAAGTCCATTAAAGTTAAGTCCAGATAAAATGGCAATTTAAATCATCTCATCTTCCCCTCATTCTTTGTTGTTTTATTGCGCCGGCAGAATAGCTCCATGTATAATTCCAAGTGTTTTTGGCATCACATTGTCAATTTTTAGAAACAAACCCACTTTGACTGCATTAGCTTGGCATGTGACCTCCTTTGTAGCGCGCAGAATGATCATATAAAATGGAGTGATGTGACATGTAGAATTGACAGGGCCAAGTGCATCTTAAATATCATTTTCAGTTGAGTTATCCTTCTATAAACACACAAACCAGTTCCAAGGATTCCTTGTTCCAATACCATCTGACAAATAAATCCCATAAAAGAAGCGAATTATCACGTATTAGAGTGTGTACTGTGTCGTGCACAGAGGCTGGGAGGCATCCATGGATAAAAAGTATTATTTTCCTCACCCTTTAATCTTTTTGTTGCTCCATCTTTTTTTTTTTTATTATCATTTTTTCTCTACAATACTTTCTCATACACACACGCACACACAACGACCATTACTACTGCAAAAGCTGAGTAATCTATTCTTTATGGTCAATGCCTTCACATTGCTGAAAAAGAAGTCTTTTGAAGGGTATTGGAAACATTCCCCCCTGCAGGCACCGGATCTAATGAACAGCCGCACAGCATTATAATTCACATCGCCCAAGTCACTCAGTCTAAGTTGAAAGTTAATACTCCCATTCTTTACTCTCTCTTCGGAGAGCAGAGACCGGTACATGTTTAAACTGACAGCTTGAAAAGTCAAAGCTGTATTTCAGGCCCCAGATCTGTACAGTTAATCGAGACAGCTTAATTGTGTCCTCTGGCTGGATTTATAATCCAATAATGGCTATCATTTTCGCCGGAGTCTGCGTCCGTCTGTCCTGTGTTTGATTGGTATTGTCGGCCGGGAGAAATAAAAACATCGACGGGTCAGAATCACACATTTTGCACCAACAGCCTCTGTACAGAGTCCTCTATGGTGTCCTTTTTTAAAATGTTTAATCCAATACTTTCTCCTTCACTCATCCATCATCCCCCCCCCCCCAACCCCCTCTTTTTTTCCCCCATTCCCGACATTAAGGAACAGCATCGCTGCATCTGCGGTGTGTGCCTTCAACCTCAGTGCCATCTCCCAGGTTTTCAACGGGCCCTTCAAGTACCAGGAGAACTCTAGGTCCGCGTGGCTGCCCTACCCCAACCCCAACCCGGACTTTCAGGTGACAAAGCTCCACGCAACAGCCCCAAATAGACTACACACATCTATTTAGCAGATATTTCAGTCTGTGAGTGTGAAGCTGATGCTTGACGATCACCCAATCATGCTCGAGACCCGACACAATGCTGGACAGGCCAAATAGTATTTGTGGCTACGCGTGCGTGTGTGTGTGTGTGTGTGTACGTGTACCTCATTAATTTCATCTCTCGTTGAATCATCTCTCTCTTTACTCCTGGAGTGACACACTATGACTGCTCGTTTTTACAACGGTACAATCATCCCTTTTTCGCTGTGTTTCATAGCCTTGTTCCATAAATACGCTGTCCTTGATTTGCACGAGTGGAACTTTTATGTTTATCCCCTGTCCCGGGAAAACGTATGCCGATTTTAGGCTCTGCGCGCTCTACGCCGATGATTCCGGGGGAAGGTTTTATTAGCTGAAGTGCCTCTCAGTTGCAGCGGGCTCAGCAGATAGCGAGGGCGCTAATCCACGCCGCTCTGCATGAGGGATTGAGTTCCCTCTGAGGTCTGGCTGCCAACGCGTGACACGCGCCTGGCTTCCACACATTTCCCATCACGGGCCCTCGATCGTGTTTCCGTCAAGCCAGCAGCTGCGTGAGCGTTCGCGACGGCCCGCTATCGAGGAGTCTCACACACATTATCTATAACGACATGCTCATGCAGAAGAAAAAAAAAAGCGGATGAAGTGTTCATGCGGCAAATGCAAGCTGTGGCAGTTTTCTTCTGCCTGCCGTTATATATCAATACGTTTTAAATTCACCTACCGTCAAGGGAAACCAATTCCTTCCAGCTGGTAATATACTGTAGGTAAGATGCTTCTGTATCCCATAGGCTTTTATGAGGCTGTTTTCCCCCCCACGGATGAAACAGCATCAGTTCTTCTGCTCCATCCTCATCTTTCCATTTAGGCTCGGGCACAATAGCTGCTCCTCACCACTGGACCGATGCGTACTTTATCTAGGTTTCAGTGACATCTTCATCAAGCATTTGTCAATGTTGGAGGATTAGATTTACGAGCGCAAGATTTACGGCCTCCACGTTTTGTTTTTTTCCGCAGCCCTTTGTGCAACACGCCTACAATCATGCCACACACACCTAAGGCAGACAAGCACCTATAAAAGCCAACGACCGAGCACACATCTATTCTACAGAAACACGCTCCCAAAGATGGATTGTTGTTGATTGCTGCCAAAGAGGGATAATTATCACACTGTGAACGCATCACTCAACACACACACACAAACAGACACTGGTCATTGATTGAGAGCTTAATTCCCCATCTGTCTGCAGAGAAAATCCCCCCATTTATTTGCAGATTGATCCTGGTTGGTTTATTCAGCCTGTGAGTCATGTTCGTTGGCCGTTGGGAGCTGATACTGTCCCAGTGTTGTGTAGGTTCTACTGTACAAACACATTCATTGTTAAGCTCCTTGTGTAGAAAGACACGGTAAATGCGACACCTTCTGCGTGGATGTCCAATAAGTGTTGGTGGTGAATGTCACGGCAGCGCGATGCATCGCGCGCAAGCTTCCGTTTCCAACGTTGCCTCTGAGCGCCGAGCTCCATGTGCACCAACTTTCATCTCCGCTGTGCATTCACTTGATGCTAAAATGAATCTCAGATCGCTCTCTCTCTCTCTCTCCCTCGTCCGATCGCACCTCATTGCGCTCTCTCCGGTCATATAATCCCTGCTGGAGGGTCCGGCCTCTCTCCACTGCATTTCTTCGTCCATAAACTCTGGCTTGAATAATGTGGCTGGATATCCAAGTCAGGCAAAACACTGTCAAATGCATTCTCGTCCGCAACACCCTCTGCGCGCATATTGAATCAAACAAGGTATAGTGGCTTTTTTTTGGAGCGGCACGGATGCCCACCACCTCTCCCCCCCTCGGCCTGCCTGAGAAATCCAAGCTGAAATTGGCTGCCTGTAATCCCGACTTGCATCCAGCTACGTTACCGTCAAGTCATCCGCCCGAGCTGGATGTGGGAAGTGAAAAGAACATTAGATTCTGCAGCTGCGAAATCCGATTTCTGGGTAAATACGGCACACAGTGTATTGATTAAATAGACTACTTTTACCATCGACCAAATGCTGTCAAATGTTTTGCTATCAGATATTTTAAGTGAACCCGAAATAAGAAGTGTCAGTTTTTCTTGGCTTACTTTTAGCTTAACATGAATATTTAGGGACAAAACTGATCAGCTTTTATAATCAGATCCTGCGTGATGGAATATTTAATGATCTATTAAGCGTGCACTTACGACGATCCCGGCTCCTGATCGTTGGACGGGCCCTCGGCCAGATGATAGTTCCGTCCCTCACCTTGGCCGCGCCGAAGGAAATCACCACATCCGTCTCTCTGTACATTCGCGGGTGTCGTAGACCCTCACTGGTCACGTGCAAGGACGAACCACTGAAGGAAACCTTAGACACATGTTATTACACAGCCCTGGCCACAGACACACTACACGTTTTTAGAAGAAGAAGCACACAAAGCAGCACATACACATTTCCCCGTCCTTCAGGGCTTTTGATTTCCCAACCCCTGATGTGTCGAGGGACGCTGATCCGTTGCCTGTGCCGGGGAAGCCCGCCGCGATTCTCATCCGTCACTCTACGGAAGGCCGGGGATTGATTTCTATGAAGTGTCCATGCCGATTCTACCGTGGCTAGTCAACAGGAACCCATCGCCACCCAAGGTCCCGTCTCAGCTCGGTACAACGAGGCAGCGTGCGGTTTAGCCGGATGTGCATGTGCAAATCTATAAAAAAACAACAACTGTACCAGTCATTTTGGGTCAGCGTAATTGTAGAGCAGGGCTTATTTTGGTTTTCTCTTCTCCGTTCCGTGGACTAGGACCATTCTTTGTGGACTGTGCCTTAATCCACAATGGTCCTGAACCCCTGAGAAGTGACCCTGCTCTGCCTCTGCTAAACTGGCTTTTGGCCTTGTTTAGCACAGGGGAAAAAAGCACCAACTTTCCTCCATTAAAAGCATGACTTTTGACAATGGATGCCATCAACGTGTTTGATTTATTTTAGTATCCTATTTACACATCATATATGTATAATTGGAGCAATATAAAAATGACCCTTAATATTTGATTTCCCTGAACACAAATACCACCTAAATAAATGTACACATCATATTAAAGCATTTTTATAAACCTCCAGTATCACACAAGTAGAACTCTATATTGTAACATTTCATTTTAAATCCCATTTCCCTATTGAAATCCTTTTATTAGATGTTATCAACAATCAACAATGAAATCTACCTATTCATATCAGATTCTTGTGCCTTCTTGTTTGCAGGAAGTCCTTTGTTTGAATGAAATTGTATATATTTTTTTTTTCTGGAATATCATGAATTACAATAATGAACATTTGAAAATACTTTTTCTTTTAATATATCAGCTAGGAGGTTAAAATAAGAGTAATCCGAGTCATTACAATAAGTGGCAACAAACAAAACTCCTCATGCTTATGAGGAAAAATCTAATAAAAAGCTGCTCAGTCAAACATTCCTTCAGCTTTCTTCCATCAGCGTATTGACTTCAAAGCCTTGAGGTTGTGAGGATAGCAAACAATCACAACGGAGCCAAAATTGACTTTATAGCCCCGTCCATTTAATCATTCAATCCCTCTTTTCTCAGCTCTCGTGGTTCTGCTGGGCATAAAATGAACCAAATTAAGATGGCTGTTCATCCCAAAGAGCTTGAAGTCTTTATTACCGTTGTGAGTCCGCCATGTCCTTCTCTCTGCACAGTGTGGCACCATTGACTCCGGCTCCTACGTCAACCTGACTGAGAGAAACCTGCAGGACGCTCAGAAGTTTTTGCTGATGCATGAGGTGGTCCAACCCGTGGTTCCAGTGCCCTACTTCATGGAGGACAACGTTCGCTTCACCCATGTTGCAGTGGACGTGGTGCAGGGGAAAGACGTACTGTTTCACATCATATACCTGGCTACGGGTAAGTTTTGAGTGAATATTTGACTACATCGCGTTCGTATACGGCGGGGCAGAAATCAGGTCACGTGATGAGCAGTGAGAGTTTCTGCTCCTCGCTCACGGAGCCGTTGATTCCCGTCGAACCGCCCGCTGAAAGCCGCGCCAAGCCACTTGCTCTATAACGCTCCGCGCTCACTCGGATTTCACCCCGCTCGCCACTCTCCTCTCAGCTTTCTTCTGGAATGACTTTGTGAACGAGCTTGCAACGGCCGCTTTCCTTCAGAGAAATAGTACGGGTGACACATACACAAATGCATTCTGGGCCCGGGCTCGGCCATGCTTCGGGCCCAAGGGCTGAGTAAGTAGGTAGCGGGAGAGGGACAGAGAGAAAATGTGAAGCTCTGACTTTGAAAAAGGTCTGCTCTATACTCCTGTATGTACATGCCTAGACAGTTATTTTCCCTGCTTGTTTGCCCTCCGCCCATATGATCAGGTTTCGAACCTACACAGTTTTGGAGCAGCCGATTAGCATAGATTAGCATTGCATTTCTGTAAATTGAACCCAGTATTCTTACTCTGTTTTTCAAATAAAAACCATGGAATAATCGATCTTTACTTCTGAGGACGCTTGAAAATGTGTTTCTGACCAACGTGATCTCCGAAACCTGTTCGGAAAAATGTATATGAAAATCTTGAACATACAAATTCGTAACAATACATACGAACTGCGGTGGTTAACCACGCCCCTTGAGTGAACAACATGGGGGACCATGTTGGATTCTTGAGTGAACGTCTCTCCGCCATGTTGGATTTTTTGAGGCGGTTAGGTGTTAGTATTCTATTCTTACAATTTAACATTGATTTCTCGTTTACTTTGTAGACTTCACAAAGTGTGTTTACGGGGTGCAGGTCCCCAACCACTTTGAATAGGATGACGTCATCAGTTGCAGTCCGTATTTATTTAGTATGGATCAGTATATGATTTTCGTAAACATTTTTACGAACAGGTTTTGGAGATCAGGCTGTTCTGACCAAAGTTTGATCCCTCTTTCCTTCCAGATGTCCTCCACATGCACTGACACCACACACACTCATCACATCGCATAGAGCTGCCATGCAATCCCTCGCTGAGGTGTCGTTGTCACCGTGATAAAGCCGACAGCCATTTGACAAAAGGAATTAATTAACAACACACACGTAAAGCTCTCACTTTACCCTTCCTTTTTTCTGAACTGCATGGTACCGCCTGCTTATCGGCAGACTGTTTGATCGTGCCGGTGTGACAGCGCGTGATGTTAGACTTGGCAAAGTGCTGAAAACAGTATCAGCTCGACGCCAGCTACACACACACACGTTTGCCGTCTGCGCTGGATTATGATATAACACACAGTGTAGATTATATTCAGATGTACTGAACGTATTCTTTGTGCTAATACACCGGAGCCCCTCTGGGAAATGTCAACGTGATCTTCCTGTTGTTAGTCTGTGTTATTTTAGGATATCACACACACACAGAATCGCACGCACACACGTACACAATGTTTTCCAGTTCACTGGCTCTATGTTTGGCATCTCCCTTTAAAAACTCCCCTCCCATTGTTTGCTCGGTGCTGTGATCAATGTAGCATTGGAGCAGAGCTGCCCACTCTGCAGGTTCCCCAGACACTAACCAGACGCTAATGAAAACATCTGAATCCCTGCCAAGGCCATTGGCCAGCGCACATACTGTACCTAATCACGGGCTATTATTAACGCTTAAAAGCACCCTGCTCATTGGGGCCATTTCGGAAAACCTAATAGCTCCAACCGAGGGTCCAAAGATGTCAAGGTGTAGGGTTATTTTATTCAAACATGTGGCTCGCAGCAAATTTAGCCTAGCTCGTTATTCGGCACTCATTAGCAACTCCTGCCCTGCGGCAACATTTTGTCTTGCAACATTAACAGATTTTCCATTATTAAATCCATTTTCTTGATGTTTCTGGTTTCTAACCAATTGTGCCGCTTTAAGTTAGTAAAGGTAAATGCGCCGGGAGAAAAACACTCAAATAAAAAAACTTGTTTCTCGTTAGGGGTTAATAATTGAAAAGGTAATTACATGAAGGCTTAAAAGTGGAGAGGTAGAAAATGATTGATAAAAATGTATAGAGTAACTGTTGTATAGACGCAAACCTCCAGATTACCTTTTCACAATGTCTTGGTGAGCATCAACATTATTTTCTAATCCTTATTTACTGTTAACACACATCTCTCCATAAGTCCTGTCATAAGGGTGAAGCTTCATGGCTCTCACACCGCTTGAAAATTAAAAAAAATATTCAGAATGTGACTCAACAGCAGCTAACGTCATCCGGCTAGCTAAGTAAGCTTGCTCTCCTGGACCTGAAGACCAAACTGAAATTCACCCTCCATTAAATGAAATAATCTCATTATGCAATGCAATGCAATTGTTAAAATAGTAATACATGAAATGGCAATCACATTATTTTTGCGCGTCACTAAGCAATGCTACACTGCTTTTGGGCAATGCTTGACTTTGAAACCCCATATTAGCGATTCACCCTTTTATCTTATGCATTACTGTGCACCTAATTACCTTTTTTCTTCACCCAGCAGATTGTATATGTGATTTTTTTTTTTATGCTCTCCCAAAAGAAATTGCGCCCAACTTTATCTCCCAGGGCCTTTCCTTACATAAGATCAGGGTCATGACGCATTAACATTGCCATGGGTGTCCACACTGTGCACTCGCAGAACTACAAAGCGGTTTCCTCCCGTGTAATATCCCTTCAAAATAAGGCAGAAATCATGTATCAATGTGCCATACAGTACCAGTTCCCGGGGTTGCATAAACAATACTCCATTTTGGCGGCGTAACCGAGCTTGACAAAAAACGGTCTTATTTCAAAGTCTCTGTTAGGATGATTGTTGTGAATTCACATCACCCAAGATGTATTTTTTGGTTGTTTTGCCCAAATTAAACTCGGTGCTCTTTTGACCGTTCCTCTCAGCCACTTTACTTTTTCTTGTCAGGACAAAAAAAAAACGCCTCCCTCTTTGTGAACAACCACCCCCCCCCCCCTTCTCTCTCTCTTTCTCTCTCTCTCTCTCTCTCTCCCAGATTACGGTACTATCAGAAAAGTGCTTTCCCCTCTCAATCAGTCCACGGGGAGCTGCCTGTTGGAGGAGATTGAGTTGTTCCCGCCCAGGAAGAGACAGCCGATCCGAAGCCTGCTGATCCTGCACAGCCGCAGTGAGCTTTATGTGGGTGTTAGGGACCAGGTCATCAAGATCCCGCTCAAGAGATGCCGTTACCACAAGAGCAGAGAGTGAGTGAATGCACAAAGCGGCACCATTAATCACCACGGAAGCGGTCAAAAATGTGCAAATGTGTACCCAGCAAAGTTTTAAAGCCCCCACTTTCCATAAGATGCTCTTTATCTTAGAGAGCCAGGCCGGTTTGTTGGTCAGGGGCCCTGGCTGATATTTTAAACCCTTTTAAATCTGCTTCCGTTTGAACCACTGGAGGTGCCCACGGCTGGCCTCCATATGTCCGCCTCAATCTCTTCCACTCGCCGTCATCGCGCTGTGCGTTTTCTGCCTGGCGTGCACAATTCTCTTGCAGCTGTGTGTGTGTGTGTGTTGTGCAGATGCATTCACTTCTGTTTGTCTGGAAGACGCTTCGACTAGGCAAAAGCCTTTTCCCAAAGGAAAAGGGCGTGAGAGCAGAGGCCCGAGTGTCGAGACCCACCACGAGATCGGTATGCCCTCCGTCTGCCGCACGCAGAAAAGGAATCACACCCGCATCCCTTATCTCTCGCACAATGATCTGGAATACACAAAAGAGTACAGGCTTCATATTACAGCTGTCGCTTCATTACCTTTTGTCGTGCATTTCCTCCTTTTGGAGGCTAAAAAAACAACGCACACTAACTGGCGGCTGCAGCACTGGGGGGGGCGTTACTGGCTTTTATCTTCGATAGGTCTTTGAGGTTTACCTGCTCGATATTAAAGGAGGCCGCCTCTGTCTGCGGTGTGGCCCACTCAGCTGTCGTCCCCTCTGATATCTTTGTCGGCGCGCAGGTACATAACGCTCATCTTTTCCAGAGCCACATAGATGTTATGTCAGCCACCCCGTGTATTCCCGGGTGTGTGCGCAAGCAAGCCAGTTTTCCTTTGTTCATTCTCACATGGATGGGTGCTTATGATCTTGCGCCTTCACACTGGTGTTTGTGTCTGTGCTCAGTTCACAGGTTGTCTGTGGGTTATGAAACCCACAGACAACCTTAGTCATATATGTAACTAGGGGCATGTCATGCTGCGTCGGTGTGGCTCTGATATAATTGACCTTGTGCGGTCACCGCAGACTCTCGTACTTGCAGAAAAAAAGTGACATCAGGCTTTTTTATTGCGTTCAGCAAACCACGTGAAGCAGATGCGGCCAGAAGGGAACCCGCTTTCTTTCCGACAATATACTCACGTTGAATCTTCGTTGGGCTGATGCAGCGTTTCAGTCAGAAATGTGTGTGTGTGTGTGTGTGTGTGTGTGCGAGTGTGTGTGTGTGTGTGTGTGCTCCAAACTATAATCCTGGTGCTTGTTGCAGATTACCTGAGAAATCAGTCAGCACGTTGCATGAAGACATGATTTTAGGCTGCTGATCCAACGTAAGCATTGTAGAGCATCGCAAGATACTTATTAATGTTCTTATTAATGTTCTCCTGCCTTTCCACTTGAGGCTGACAACTTGCTTTGTGCTCTTCTCTTTTCTACACATTTAAACGTTGGCCTTCTTCCCCCGTTTCTGTGCTCTCTCTTTTATCTCATCTCTCCCATTTCATGCTTTTTCTGTCCATCACTCCTCCGAACACTTTATCTCCCGCTTCCCTGATCTCCCGCCTTTGTCTCAACCTGATGCTGGATATGGTATCCTGCCGCCATACAGAGCTATCTGTTTTCACATGACCGCTTCATAAGAGCCCGTTAAAGTGGAGCTTTGCTGTCTTCTCAGAGCCTGCGTGGGGGCCAGGGACCCGTACTGCGGGTGGGACCTGTTGTTGAAGAAATGTACCACGCTGGAGGAAAGTGTCAGAATGAGCCAATGGGAGCAAAGCATCACAAAATGCCCTGTGAGTATGACAGAGACGCTGCCTGGCTTGCATATGCTTACTTTGAAACGTTCAAGCCGGTGGAATACTCAGTTGTCACCGGGCCTTCACGGTCGCTCTCCCCTTCACATCACTCGCGTTCATCGTGGCTCCAACGCTTTGAAAGCTTCAGCCTGCTTTGTATTCTTTCCGCGCGCTCGCTCGCTCCGGCAACATCCCCTAAAACCACCCAGACCAAAATGTGTGCGCCAAAGGAAGGCACCTTGGGACTGAATGACTTGACTTTAAGTGAGCGACACGTCCGCCGGGGACGTGATCCGGGGCCGCAGCCTCAATCGTTCGCCTTCTGACTGCTTCTTTGTTAGCAAAACAGCTCCTCCGTTTATTTTAACATGCACCACATTTTGGAGCGGAATTAGGGGGACGGGACCAGCTATGAGTGCTACGTGGCTCCGTGCTCTTTTATGTGGATTCATGTCCAGAAGAATATTTGGCAATGAAGCCACTGAGCTGCACCCAGCAGCATCTGTCTGCAGAGCTCTGGCAGAAACGCTGTGTTCTCATATGCCTTCAGATGGAAATGGAAAACACAGAATGTTACATGCATGTGCGCATGAACAGACACACATCATGAATTTGCAAAATCACGACCGGCTGTAGCTCAAAATTGTTTTCTTATGTCAGATACGTCAAAGCATGTGAACATGTTTAGGATCCGCCAATCCTTTACTCTTTCTGTATTTCCATGTGGCAATACCACTGCTCACGCTGGTAATAGAATATGTATTCATGCACTTAACTCTTCTGGTCTGGCTTCACAACAAGGCTTGTGAAGCCAGACCAGAAGAGGAATGTGGTGTGCAACATTTTGACGTGACAACTGGAAGACAAGAAGTTGTAATTCATCAGTTAGTGTTTCACTCCCTATGAGTCCATTAACAGTTTTATAAATACAGCTAAACGCGCTGAATGTTTGCTGTGTTGCTTTCTCCTGTAAAGTGGGGAAGTGTTGAGCTGCAGTCAAGGTTTCACACACACACGCACGCACACACACACACACACACACACACGTTGTGTAGGCAGAGATCAACATCTTCACATATGCCATCTGGCATCACAGATTCACGTCTATATTTGTGTGCCCAGTAACAAGTAGTTTTAACCAACCATCACTCTACAAACAGCATCCTACAGTCATATGTAGAATAACAAATAAACTGTTAGAATTTCAATTTGCTTTTCATCGTCCGTCACTCTGCTTTACCATTCTGATGAAATTAATAACACACGTTCTTTTCCCACCAGTGGAAAATACTTTACTAATAATTTAGATCTTCACCTATTTCTAGTGGCAAACACATATATATATATATAGTTACAGACTTTTGGTGTTTTTAAAGATGCCGTCTGTCTTTTTCAAGGGCAGCCCATTGATGCAGATGTTCTCTTCTCTGCAATTACCAATAAGGGCAAAGGGAAGATATTATTTTTGCTTCGGCCAAAGCAGCTAATGATCATGCTCTTTTCTCCAAGTACAAAATTGTGTTCTTTGTATTTGTAAATCACCCTTAAATGTAGCAGCTACGCAGCTCATCATCTGCACCTCTGAATCACACATAAAGCTTTTTTGGATCTGGTAATTCATAGCTTCTGTGATATCTGAGCCTTCCTGTTTCATTCTGTTTTGGTTCAGATATCTATTTATGCTGCCACTTTTGTTTCCTCCCATTTCTTTTCTTGTAATGGGGCCATTCGCAGTTTTCATTTGCCTGTCTGAATATCGTTGTGTTCTGAGACAATTGTCATATAACGTCCTCGTGTTTTCAGCACATCCTGTCCATATAAGTGCTCAATTTGGAATTTGCTATAGTTGGTAGGTCATGCAGTTAGTTTTGCATCTATTTGAGGAAAATTGATTTCTGTTTGCATCTAGCCGTGGGCTGCGTCTCCCAGAGCAAAACATTCCTGAGAGCATCAGCCCAGACAAAAGCCATTACTTACCCATTTTATTTTTTTGTCCCTTTTCATCTCTAACAGATCCGTAATGTGACCGTTGACGGAGGCTTTGGCGCCTGGTCTGGCTGGTCCACGTGTAGTCATAGCGACGGAGGCAGCGCGGGCGGGTCCTGTCTGTGTCGGACGAGAGCCTGCGATAGCCCCGCCCCTCAGTGTGGAGGCGAGCACTGCTACGGCGTCAGCGTGGAGGTCGCAAACTGCTCCAGGTACTTTCTTTGTTGATACACATCTGCGCTTTTTTTTTTAAATACGCGCTACAAATGTTAATGTACAGTAGAGAAGATGATTGTGAGCTAAAAGCTCCACTCTGTCTCATTGGCCAAGTATTATTGCAAACACAAGGACTTTGACTAGTATTAGATAGACATTACTGTTTTTTTTAATACATACTAAGTGGTTAAGTGCAATTCGGGTGTCGAACAGATGTGGTTCCTCTCAGCTGCAGCCTGATTGTAACGCTTTCAAGGTTGAATTTACTAAGATGCTGCTGCTGTGCATCAAACATACCCTTGCATGAAAGAGGCAATGTGCACATGACGGAAGAACCTTTTGGGATCCTCTTCATCTAAGCGCTTTGAGCGGTTGGGGGACTAGAAAACAAATACATTTACCATCCATCAATAATTCATCAAATTCTTTGAGTCTAATTAATAAAGTAGTTACCAGAGCCCAAATTAAATCATTCAAATTTAATGATCTGACTAGCAATAAAAAAATAAACAAAGAAAACAGAAATATATATGAAAGCCATGACATAGAACTGCTTTGTATAGATCTTTTATTCATCACTTAAAACTGTTCATTGTTTTCTCGGCTCGTGGTGTGATTAATCCCTGTGATGCACCTAACAGTTGGTATCTTCTTGCCGTAGTCTCCTTGTTGTGTTCTTCCTACCACCATCACCACTCTTACCTGAAGTTGATCGGACAGATGTGGTCCCTGTGTGTCTCCATAGAAACGGAGCGTGGACTCCCTGGACCTCCTGGTCTCCCTGCAGCACAAGCTGTGGCATCGGCTTCCAGGTCCGTCAGCGCTCCTGCAGCAACCCGACCCCTCGCCACGGCGGGCGAGTATGTGTGGGCCAGAACCGCGAGGAGAGGTATAACACGCAAATGCACACGCGGATCTATGAATGCATTCACGCATACCAATTAAAGCAAATACACGCTTTGATGCGCGTTCGTATTTCTGTGCAGGCGATAAAAAAAAAAAGAAGACTATTCCTCACTCAGGAATGACATGCCTTTTTTTTCATCATTTCTGACGAACTTTGTGACAGGCAATTAATGAATGAGTGGGATTGGCCTGGGCTTGGGTAATTATCTGGCTTTCGCACACAGACCGAGTATACGTTTTTGAAGCTTTTGAGGCTTTGCAGTAGAAATAATCGCCTTTTTATATAAGTGTTTGTGTGGTTTCTAAGCAACCTTCTAGGGCTGAAAAAAAATCTGTTTTTCAAGGACTAAGTATGTGAAGAAGCACAAAGAGAAATACAAAGCAGTCCAGGTAGATCAGGTCAAGATACGCCTATTTCTGAAGTTAAAGTTTTATTCGTCCCTCAGTTTTCTTCTGGCTCAAACTTTATTTCTGTGTTTGCCAAATCATACAGGGGCTGAGGAAAGATGGTCCATGGTGTTCGATAATTAGACGACAGTGGCTATATGACATTATTTCCATTAATGTAGAACTGATATTTCTCAATGAGCTGAGGCATCCCACTTCTGTATCTATAAAGGCATCCTACGTATGTTTTTCATCCAATTCATGTTGTGAATCAGAGCCAGAGGGAAAAAAAGTCCAAATAAATACAGTTGATAGGGTACAGGAGAGCAAAAAGCAGAAATTCATTTTAACCAATCTTTGCCACGGCAACAGAAACAGGATTGTGATGGATGAGTAATAAGATATGGCCTTCAAGGATGGACCTTATGTTACCACCCTTCTGCACGCCTTTCTTTGCACTTTTTCATTTCCCCTCTCCCTCTCCTAACCTCCCATTTTCCCTCTTTCTTCCTCGCACTGCCCCTCCTTGTGGGGCAGTGCTTTTGTCAAGGACTGCTCCGCCAGAGACTCTGAGGAAAATAAATGGAGTAGCCCACACAGCCCTGTTTCTCACGAACCACACCACGCCACTCCCTCCCTCCCTCCCTCCTTCCCTCCCTCACTCCCTTCCTTCCTTTCTTTCTCCTGCGCTTTAATCTCCTTTGTTTCATCTCCCCTTCCTGCTCTCAGTACTTGCTCTGTTCAGCTCTTTAAGACACCTTAGGCCAGTTAGGCGGCAGCTGTGAGGGCTGGAAAGAGATCGTTGTGAGGAAGGACTGAGAGTCTCTCTGTGTTTTAGTGTGTGTGTGTGTGTGTGTGTGTGTGTGTGTGTGTGTGTGTGTGTGTGTGTGTGTGTGTGTGTGTGTGTGTGTGTGTGTGTGTGTGTGTCGGGGAGAGATAGAGGGATGGACAGTAAGGCAGAGCGATGGAGAAAATGTGTTAACAGATGAACTATGCCGTGTTAGAGTAAGTCTGCCTGAGGGAGACAAGGATAAGATAGGGATGCTGAAATGTTTTTTTTTGTAGGCATGTGCACCACCAATGCTGCTAGAAAAACTGGGAAATCTTCTCATGAATGTTCAACCCGTGTAATGAAGTCCAAAAACATCTGTAGCTCATAGTTGCCCATGTGGGAAACAGCTCATCTGTGACAGCTTTAAAATGCTGTGAAATATTAATAAGCCTAACTAACTCACTTTGTTCTTCTCATGTCGAGCACCCCGTCCGGATTCGCTTGCAAGACTTATGTTCAAACATGCATTCGTTTGGTGTGTGCTCATAAGTACACATGTTTACAAAAAAAATAAGAAATACTAAATCTCTCACCTTTTCTTTTCGCCAATATAATTTTCACAGGTTTGCCCTGATTGTTTGCAGCTGCAAGAAACTTTAAAGATAAACCTGAGAGCGGCCATGCAGAACAGCGCCACCGGCTTAAATCTGGCTTGTTAATGCTCACATTTATGACCCGTCTGTTGATTTTTCCCTCAGCGCACCGACATCGTCCGAGTAATTACAGTTTTAGTCTAATCAGCTGTGTATATTTCAGAGTAAACAAAAGAGGATGATTTTTGAAGCTCTTACGCTTGATCACTGCGGCTTTTTATTGAGTTATGGAGCAGTAGGGTGTTTTGGGTCTGTGCACAAGCCTTGGTGCATTAATGTCTATACGTGTAAGCTTGTGCTTTTGTGGGGGTCCACTTTCCCCACTGTATTATCCCACTACAAGCTTGTAGATCAGTAAAGTAGAGATGGATCACAGTGCTCCGAGGATCTTTACAACCAGGAGTAAACAGGGAGTAGTTTTTGATTTGCCGTGAACATTTGGACATTTTTAGAACCACTGAGCTTCTGAGCCTCTAGAGAAATTACATAAAGTTAAAGCCATCAAGAAAACTCAGTTTCCCTTCAAATGCACTGATGTGCCAAAACACGAAACAATAGCAATAAAAGCAATTTTTATAGAATGCGTACAAGTTATAAAATAAATTGTGTGGCTCTAATATGGCTGGCAGTTGTCTGTCGTTATTCTATAATGAGGTACAGAGTAATTAAGTATTTTGAATTTCTGCTATATTCTTGTCTTGTTAAAACAACGTAATTAGGGCTTATGTATGCATCTAGATGGCTTTTTTAGTGGCCCGCATTGATCAATTATGCAGAATGCATATGCACGTTCATTGGGATCTGAGAAGGAATTTTAGCTGTAGTTTTATGCAAAACCAGCCATTACACCACGCACAGAAACATACACGGCGCCGTCTCTGGTGGATTGATTCAATCAAGTTCTGGTTCTCAGAGCACCGTTTTCTCTCCACATCAAAGCTTTATGTTGGGTTCGTTTGAGTTTTTTTCTTCTTTTTTGTTATGTGAAGTTTACACGCCTTTTCCAATATCCTTGCCTTGTGATGTTTTTTGTAGCTATTTTTATTAAATTCAGTGGCACCGTCTCAAAAGTGTGGTGACATCTCCAGTTCCCTCCACATATAATTTTAGTGCCCCGTTGGATAAAGGAGCATTTTCCACAGACCACTTAGAAGAAACGTTTTTACAGTTCACAATCCAGTTTTATGTACCCAGTATAAATTAAGCTCTGTTGTCAAAGCTCGCTAACTACCTCGTATATCTTCTGTCGTGTAGATCTTGTAACTGCAACGCACCACTTAATTAACAGATGCACTCACCATTATTTTAACTTAACAACGTATCAAAAGAGTTTCCGATAAATCTCATTGAATGTGCTGATCTCATGTGGTCTTTGCTCTCGCTTCCCAGGTACTGTAACGAACACCTGCCCTGCCCACCGCACGTCTACTGGTCGGCCTGGTCGGCATGGGAACGCTGCACCGCGCCCTGCGGCGGAGGCGTCCAGTCGCGACGCAGAACCTGTGAGAACGGCAACGACTGTCCCGGCTGTGGTCAGGTGTGTTACGCCAGACAACAAGCGCTCGCGCAGAAGCCGTCCATAAACCCGTCTTTGTCTCCGCGGGTTCATTGTTTAGGGACACGCGATTTAATCCGACAGTTGGTGGTGACGAAATTGGGACATCTTACACGACCGAACCCCCCCGGCTATATTTATCCGGTGGCAGGAGCAATAACATTTATTACCGAGGCATATTTAATACCACACACACAATAATGGCTTCACGTATGAATGGGCTTATTTTTTTGCCAAAAAACGCCTTCTCCAAAGCCCGGATGATGCAAGGGTGTGTTGAAATATGAGCGTTCCTTTTTGTCTGCAAAATTATGTGAATGATGCTTGTGTTATTTCTGATGCTATTTTCACACACATACAAACAAACAAACAATCTATAATCCACATGTCTGGTAAAAATATGCAGGAATGAACATGAGAGCTGTAGCTCTTTGTGTTCCTGGGATGAGATGGATTGAAGAATATGGATAAATGGGATCCCTGAAGTGTTTTTGTTTGTTTGTCACTTTTCTTTCAAATGTTGGCTGAGAGTTATCCCTGTTTAGGATTAAGGATTAATGCCATTCACACTGGCAAATTAAAAAGGATGAATGATCTTCTCTTTTATCTGCAGAATGCTAAAGAAGCATTGAACAGTCACATCGCATTCAGCCCCCCCCCCCAAACACATCACATCCTGCAGGTCGCGTGATGGCCTGTTGTGAAGCCAAGTAGCGCAGTGGCCGCATTATGAAACTTCCCACGCAAGCAATCCACCCTCAAGAGGATATACCATTTGATAATTACCCATGACACATTAGCAGCTTCAGAAAAAAAACGAAAATAAAAAGACCAGACTTCCCTTCACGTTGTAGCTCATCACAGACATAAACACAGCGCGGCATCAGACGGCAGCTATCGCATTTCTTTCATTGCACATCCACCATTATCTCCACCGGGCCGCATTGGGAACGCAGCAGCGATTCTTAGGAGTAACTCCGTCACTGTGTGTGTGAAGATGTGATGTGATATTTGAAGTAGTCGCGGTGGTGTCGGGGGAAGAGGAGAGTCTTCTCCTGATCGCAGACTAGTTGCATTTACTTAGTTTTACCTTTTTGGGTTTGTTTTGTCACCTCGTTCACCCGCCTCGTCTCTTCGGCCATTTCAACGTGAACCTAATTGAGGCCGTGTTACCACGGCGGCTGTAATTATGCAGATTTCTTTGCCTGGGAGAACTTTATTTGGACAGCTTGGGTAACCGGCGTTTGTAGCTGGATATTTACTCAGATCAAAGAAACACTTGCTATCTTTCATTTAGAACTCTAATAAGGTGCTTGAATGACGCAGATGTCAATGTTTAAGCTTTGATGTGTTTTAAACCCACTAAAAAATAACGCATGAAAGACAGGAAACGGTTTTTTAAACGGGCATGCATCTTCCCAATAAAGTTGATTTTGCCCTCAAACATTGAGTAGAAGGGAAAAATATTCTTTTGATATCTTTAAGGACTCCCCCATTCCCCCCAAAGTAGTGAAGAGGCTGATGGAGTCATTTTTTTTATGCGCCATCTGTCTGTCATTACTTTCCCCGGACAGATCTTAAATTAAACAGAAGGAGACCACGTACGCATGGTAACACACACACACACACACACACATAGACAAACACGCACAGGTTGCAGCTTCTGTCATCACACATACCGTTTTAGACCGACCCCCTACTGAGACCCGAAAAGATGAACGCTGTGTATTTCTTGGATGTTGTAGCGCAAAAGGTACATGTGCGCGTTAATGTTCAGCTGTCACAATGTGCTGCTGCCAGACATTAATCAACAGTGACGAGCCAACATCTGCTGCCTGTTTTACTGGGATTTCATGCAGACAATTTGCAATAAACTCGACTTATTTTTGAAAGGTTTTCAGCGATGGACTGAAGTTTGGTGACAATATTCTGGTCAACACACCTTTTCCTTTGGTTCTCTATTGATCCCTGAAGCAACGTCGTCTAAGCTTCCATCCTCTCCACAGTGCACAGCCAAACACCGAGTAGCGCAAGTGAAGCATGTAGGCATTTAGGTCAAGGGCATTTTTCATTTTAACAAAAGTTTCTATACTCGCTTTGCCCCCCCCTCCCTAAAACAAACAAAATGCTTCGTGGAAACCTGCCGGACGTTTTCCCCGTGTGTCATTGACAGACGCCTCGGCAGTTTTATCATCGTGGAGGTATTTAGTCCTGGAGGGGGGGGGGGGGTTCATTTCGCTGATGCGAAAGGTCACATGACTGCAACTTCATCAGTCTGAGCTCCATGCAGCCCTGATCTGCATTACGGGTTTGTATCCCAAAGGAGCGAGAAAAAGCGGTGTCTGTAAATAAAACAGGCAAGCAGTGAAGTACTGCGCTCTTTTTCTGCTGTTAGCAGAATAATTTGAAGAAAGGTTATTTTGTTTTCACAAATAAATAAGGCAGGATGTTATTAATAATGGTTAGACTTGAATGGAGGGTATTAATAACTACATTTAAGTTGATAAACTCTAGTGTTGCTAAATAAATGTAATTCATTCGATCCATCTTGATGATGATCACACAGTGTGAAGCTGACTGAAGAGTTGATAAGAGGATGAATCATTGTTAAAAGGAAAATATTTCTATTTACTTGTATTATAAATGGTGCCAGAGCCATTTTTCAATTAGAAATAAGCTCAGAAAACATGTGCTGTGTTTTTAAACACTTTTGCAAAGAAATATGTCTAACACAAATTATATTAAAATGAAGATTATACCCTTCAAAACTTGTAGAGCTACCAATTCCACAGCTAGATATCAGTTATGTGTTGTTAATAACTGCTGCAGCAATAAAATCCATTTTTGGGATTAAGTAAAAATTGCGTGCCACTCCTCCAGAAAATCAATATTCCTTTCTTAAACCTCCATTAAATCCTCATATTCTGCACCATGGTTGGTATTCCAGTTCAGGGCCAACCAGGGAACGCTAAACACACAATGGTCTACCTACATGGGAAGCTCATATATTGCTCTACTATATTTTTTGAAAATAAATCCCATTTTTTCATTAAGTAATTCTTGGAAGCCTTCAGCTCCAGTGTAGCCAATGGACGTCCCGACCAAGACTTCCTTTTTCTCTGAATTGCGCAATTTGAGATAGAAGACAAGATTCCGATTTTAGACAAAACGTAATTGAACGGGTTATTTCAATATTAAAATATTTTCAAATTGGATTTCTGCCAGTGCATCCCTGCACATTTGCTAGTCATAGGAATGTTAACCTACATTGCACCCAGGTCTGTTTGAACATCATCGGTCATTACGTCTCAAAGCTCAGCACAGAATATTGTCCTTTTGCCTGAATATTTGAATTTCAAATCTGTAGATCTGTGAACTCAATGACAATTGAAAGTGAAACACATAAATCACTTGCTGATTCATTGATTTATCGCAATGTGACTTTCACCTCACTCACGTATTTCGTATTCGGAGGAAAGATACATTTAATTCAGAATGGTATTTCCATTACTTTACATCAAATACCTCTTACATCCGAGGACCATAAAGGACCACCATCCTCAATCGAACAGTACAGCTTGACTCTGCCTCTCAGAGCTAAATAAATCAAATATGGACCATGCAGAACCGGCGATGCACAGAGCTGCTTAATGGCACCGAGAGCTGTTCTATTTACCTGCCGGTCGTGCAGCCAGACTGCAAAATGAAAGTTAAGCACCCAGTGTTTGTGTAGCCACTGGCAGACTGACGCGTGAACACACTGGTGTCTTTCTGCACGGTTCATTGTTGTGTGCGTGCATGCACGGGTGCACTGGTGTGTGGCCAGGAGACCTGCTCCTGGCCGACAGCGGGCTTCATTACAGAGTCAGACTGTTGGGGGGGAGGGAGTGAAGGGGAGGAGGAGCGAGAGAGAGAAGTCACAGTTTGACAAAGTGTGCTTTGGTCTGTGCTGCTAATTGAAGTGATGTCTCACGGAGACTTAAAGAGCATTAGGCCTCCGTTTCTGTGCACCAGATGAAGATGTAAGCACTCGAGAGGATAAGTCGCTTTCATATCTCAAATCTGAACCGCTCACTCAAATGTTAGAGTACGAGTGGTAAATGTAGGCATAAACCAACACACGCTCTCCTCTCCCTCCCTCCCTCTCTCTCTCGTACACGCGCACAGCTCTCCCAGTCCAATAAGATGTATAATGACTGTAATAATGGTGGGAGGCTTGAGAAGCACGATTCTGTGTTATTCACCTCCCACCGCTGGCCGGACGCAACAGAGATCCTTTTAACGCCCACGCATACACACAAGCGCCTCTCTCCGAACACACATACACACTCATGCATACAAAGTACAGAAATAAACACATGCACTGTTCACTCTCCACTCGACATTCTCACATTAAATAAAATAAAAATAAGGAGAGGCTGATGGCTTAAGGTTCCACAGCACTCACGCACTATAATGACACACACACACTCTCAATTTCCTTTTTGCCCTTTTTCCGCCGCAATTTGTATCCCTTCCAAGTCTATAACACCTAAAAAAATAAGCAGGAACGTGTGCGGATGGAGGCAGCCTGAATCCATAACTCAGACATGCATAAAGTTATGCACATGCACGCGCATCCACACAAACACAAACACACACAAATGCAAAAGTGCAACTAAAGTCAAACTTTCCCGATGGTCGACTTGACACGTTCATACACACACGGTCTCGCACACAAACAGCCCGAGCAACACTTCCGTACTGAGCAGCCAGGCGGTAAAATGGTACCTGAGGTCCTCCCACCGAGCCCTCCAGACACACAACGCAGCGCCGGCCGTCTCTGAGCAGCTGCTTGTTAAAAGGACGCCGCGCGGCATCAAATCGCTGCCCTCCATTTGCCCACAATGCACATCGCTGCATTGTGGGCACGTATTCCAGTCGACATCAACAGACTAATTGAATCCAATTTTGTGTTCCACATGCCACTTGTCACATCCGACTGCTTTCCGCAATGTTTTCAATTTCGGTTAATTTCCCGAAAATTTTAATATGAGTGCAGCTGAAAAATCCAGGAAATGTTTCCTGTTTTTCTTTGTTCTTTTTTCTTATGGTTTTATTACATTGTTTCTTTTAGAAGCTGGAAAGACTGATGAAACATTTAAATAGTTTATTTTGATTTGTTTTTGCCTAACAGTGAATCAAAGTTGAATTACCGAGTAGCTGCTTTGTTTTGTTCAGAGGTGCATTTACATATCCAACATGTAATATATGCCTAAGATGACCTATTCACTGTTCTGGCTCAGTGATGTCATTTTAATGGAGTTCTTTTATTTGCTTGTGGCTGCACGTGTGTGTGTGTGTTGGGTTTATGGGTTTTCGTGGAAAGGGCTATACTGATGTTTATTTCAGATCCTGGGGTCCATTTTTAATGCATTATTCAAAACGTGTTATAAAAATTGCCACTAAAAAAGCAAGGGGACTGTTTTTGTTTTTGTTATTATGCCACATTTACCACAAGGCTCTTTTATTGCAAGAAAAGACAATAAGCTGTCTACTGTCCTGCAGCAGTTGTTATTCGTTGAAACAGCAGGACTCAATGTTTTTTTATACCCCGGACACCCGGTTTGTACCATTACTCCTGTGTCTTCTTCGCATCATTGGTACTTTTTAACTTACATGAAGTTTTCTAAATGAAACTCAACAAACTGACCACCACTCAAATAAATGCCTATTTCCTTCTACATATATATAAGTAATTATGGTATAATACTAGTCCATTGGTACTCACATTTAAAAACTCAGGCTACTACTTTGAAAGTTGTTGTACAAGGTCGGTCCTCTCGACAAGCCACGGAGCTTTTGGTCCAATCAGGGGGCACCTTTGTATCCACGTGGATACATTCTGAGACTTTGACTGAGGTTTAATCATCAAACCCACTAATTATCTCCTCGGCCCTCTGCATTGACTCTAATCCTCAGAGAATGCAGGAAGAAACGCTTACCAGACAAGGCTCATTAAACATTTAGTGTGTTTGGCCACCATCAACCATTCACAGAACAAACACAGACAGATCGTTTGCCTCTTACCCCTCTTCGTGCCATGTGATGCTTCACTTTCTTCTTTTTTTTGCTCCATAGGCAGCTGCGAGACGCTGAGGTTGGCTTTTTTTTTTTTCCTTTTTTTTTTCTCCTTTCCTTTTTATTATTGGCTGATAATCCCAGATTGCGTGCTGGCCTGTGAAGTGTGATGTTGTTAAATATTAATGTCCGGAGATGATTACCGCGCTGGATGTGAGTGAGACAGGAAGTGCGGTGGAGGTGACACCCTCATTCATCACGGGGCCCCGAACAGAATCTAAATCCTTCCTGTGTTTTTAACCTTGGTACCCTGGGGGGGAGAGAGGGGGGAGGAGGAGGCGGGGGGGAAAGGAGTGGACAGAAACCATGGTGGATATGGAGCGACACAGAGGGACGAAGTGGACGCATGGAGGCAAAAAGAAACAAGGAGCGAGGGAGAAAAGGAGCTGACGCAAGAGAAGTTATGATGAGGAAGAGGGGGAAATAAATATGAAGATGGATGGGTGGCTGGAGAGCGAGAGAACAAGAGAGAGCTTTAAAGAGGAGGCGAGTAGGTGAAAGATAGACCTGCATACTGTATAATGTATAGTGGTCCTCTCCTCACTTGACCTGTCAGCCGATCTTATGCGACAGGCTGACGGATTGCAGAAAGAAACTCTTATCTCATTTTGTCAAGGTTTGGCAGTCACTCAAGGCCTATTCAGCATAAATAAACACACGCTGAGGAAAATGACCCCCCCCCCCCCCCCTCTCTTTTGTGCTGTCATTTTCTCCATACACACCACTATACCTCCATCCCCTTATTATATTAGCATGGCACAAACAGGGTCTGAACTGCCTCCTACCCACCTATCAGCATCCTGAGTGTGGACTAGAGCTATCACATACAGAACCACGGAAGATTCTTTTAAACATCTCATCCAAATAAAAGTTGGTTGGGAGAAGTAGGGGAGAGATATATATACCTATGAGACTCACATATCATACCGTTGGTGCCTCTGCGTTGCATTTTTTCATTTTTATTGCCAGGCTTTCAAAGCCAGATGCAGAGAGGAGGAAGAGTTGCCATTATTTTGCTCCTTCTCTATCCCACATCCTCCACTTACCTCCTCCTCTCCTCCATCCTTTCCCGTTGGTTATGAATTAACTTGATGAATGACCTTTTTTTTTCCTGGCTGGCTGGTTTGTTTGCCTCCTGCAAGTGGCCTAAAGATAATGCCTCCTTAGGAAGTGCATGCGGGCAGAATGACAGGTGTGTTGGGACGAGGCAAACATTGCTTCGTTGGTTTCTGAGGGGTATTTGGGGGGATGAGCGGTACAGGATGTGGCAGCACACAGTGGGGTAAACCAGGCAGAACGGGAATCAAGAGGCTCTTAAGGATGAAGGATGATGAAAGCCTTTAAAAAGTTGTTTATTCCCTCATAAAGAATGTCATTTTGTATCAGTCACTTTCAAAAGCCATGGTCCTGGCCATTATTATGCTTGGAAAAGACATCACGCACTTCTTTCCGAGCTTGTCACGTTTAATTCTTGCTGTAATGATCTGCGGTGATCCGATGATGAACGAATGCAGCTAAACGACTGTCTTGTCTCCGATTGCAGGAGTACCAGTCATGCAACACGCTGCCGTGTCCTGACCTAAAGAAGACCACGCCCTGGACCCCCTGGACGCCCGTGAACATCTCGGACAACGGCGGGCACTACGAGCAGCGCTTCCGCTACACGTGCAAAGCTCGCATCCCGGATCCCGGCCTGCTGGAGGTGGGCAGGCAGAGGATCGAGATGCGCTACTGCTCCAGCGACGGCTCCACCGGCTGCTCCACTGACGGTGAGGGGCTGAGCGGAGGAGAGAGGACGATAGGATGGTTATTGGCCCCTTCGCCTCAAGCCATTCCTTCTACGTGTCTGTTTTCGGGTTGTTGGTGGGATCTCTCTCTCCTTCCTCTTCAAAGTTTCGTCCTCTCCGTCCCGAAAAGGCAAACAAAAAAACAAAAAAACAGCGCCACCTCAAACCGCCTCTCGTCTCTGTGGTCTCGTCTTCCCTCGGCTTTATCAGAAGATCAAAGCGCCAGACTTGTTAATAAACTTCCAATCCACAAAGCGGATCGGCAGTTTGAAAAGTAATTTCAGAGCTCTTTCACACCCGCACACACACCGAGGCGCGCACAGAGTTCAATTATTGTCTCGCTAAGAAGCACAAACACACCGCTCTTTATCCACCATCGCACATGTTCCCTTCTGCCCGTGTGCGCACCACACACAGCCACTCCCCTGGAGAATTAAGAGCCGTAAACGTCTGTACAAGCAGGCTACTAATTGACAAGTTGTTTACGTTGTCAAGTGGAAGGATGCATATTAGGCGGGAGAGAAGCGGGGTGGCATAACACCCCAGGGGAGACATAAGATGCATCCGTTTAAAAGTTTGTTTGTGGCGCTTTGAGTTCCTGGAGCCACGATGTGCCGGCCTCTTAACTGTGACTTCCCGTGTGTCTACGGGTGGTCCCTTTTAATACCCCGCTGTTGTGTCACACGCCTGGCCCTAATGTACAATACCAGTGGGGTTTCCTCTCTTTTGATATCACTTCGGATTATTCATCACGGCCTTTCCTCGTGCGTCTGAAGGGGTTTTCAGTGAGCGCGCTGCTGGCAGGATCAGAGGAAACCGTGACTGGACACTCAACGCCGCGATATTAGCGACGCCCCCCCCCCCCCTCCAAGACGTTATTAGTGAAGAAAGACGTGAGCTTTGAATAGTTCTCTCTTTTCTTCTGACTAGTGGGTGACACAATGCGCTGTTTCATTAGAGGTTGTCACCACAAGCCTGACTTCAGATTAGCTTTGGTGCTAATTAGACCGATTGAAAAGCGTTGGCTGCAAGGTTCGGCGCTCACGGTTGGGTGTCTGTGTTGGTTGGTTGCACTCGCGCGTTTCATCTAGATGACTATCCTGCAGGCAATATTGCGGAGCATGGCTTGTGAGAAAATATATGTTATGTGAAATCTAGAATATGTTCAATTTCTTTGAATGTCACTCCAGTTGCAAAGCAGCACAGCACAAGTAAAAAATACCTGTTGGTGCATGTGTGTACTCCCCTGCACTTACATCACGTTGATTGTTCATCGAAAGGATTCTTCTTCTCTGTGGAGTTTTAGACCATGACGATTGAAAAAAGAAAAGAGGAATCCTGTGATCCCCTTCTTCATTTGAGCCAGTCGGGATCCATCTGCGGAGCACCGTTGTGTGTGCGTGTGTGTGTGTTGGCCTGTTCTGTGAGTGTGTGTGGATTTTTTCTTCTAACATGTGCATGCTCGCAGGTGTGTGTGTGTGTGTGAATACACCGGTATCTGATTTGTCCTCCTACCGAGAATCCAGCTGCCGGTACGTGCCGCTGCAGTCTGTCTCTCGCGTGCACAGCAAAGAAAGGTATTCAACCCCTCATTAAAATCCCATCAAGACGGTAAACAAGTCGATACCCCAAATTGCTGCAGAGATTGCATCGGTGATGTTGAATTTTAGTGTGTAATCCCTTACTTGACTTATGTGGTTGTGTCGTATGCATGTGTTCATTTGTGCAAAGACTGTATGCATTTTTTTTTAAATGGTGCCAAACATCTTACGCGATCAGGGTTGGAGACTTTTCGCATCTCCCTTCAGCCGTCCTTTTTGTTTTGATGCAGGTGCGTGAACTTTAAAATACTGAACTTTTCGCTGCCTCGCCGTCGCTCTGATGTCGCTCCCCCGCTACTCAATAAAAAGCCCCCCTCTGCCCCGCCGTCTTAAATCTCCTACATCTCTCCCTGCTCAGGCAGAATGTCACCATGTTTGTAGCTCGGAGCATCAAAGCTATCAGATCTACCTGACATTTGACGGATTGGATTGGATTCTGAGACATGGCGCATGTTATTGACAAACACTTGGAAGTTTCATCTGTGAAGCGCAGATATGGAGAAATAAATCCCCCTGCCGATCGAGAGAATAAATCAATGTTTGAGATATGTTGGCAACTTTTTCAACCTCTGGCCACAATCTCTTTTTCTTTGTGTCTCCCATATTAAGATCTCTATCTGTCTTTATTATGAGTTGTATTAGGAATAGAGGACTTAACCAAGCATTTACAGTGAGGTTTTATACAACATACTGACTTGTTTCACATCAGTGGTCATAGCTTAATGATAGCGATGAGTTAATTACTTCATATCCTCCGTGATTTAAAGACCCATCTTGTCGTGTACACCCGATCATTAGTCTTGGAGCAATTGGCGCAAATTTTCCCTTTTCATCACTTTTACATCCCTGAATGAATTAAACAAAAATTTGATATTAAATAATATTGCGTTGATAGTTGTTGATGTTACACATCGATATAGCAATTTATTAAACATGCCTTTCCTTTTCCTGCCCATGTTGTGACTCTTCTGTTCACTAAACAATACAGTGTTAATAAAAACATGTTGTATTGCTGGGGGGCTTAAACAATACATTTGCATGCGCCCTACTCATCATATTTGTTTCTCTATAGATTGCACAAACAGGAGACCTCTGCAGAATGAATGTTACTGGCATAGTTCCCGCTCTGGATGCGAGGCTGCATCCCTTAGAGTTGTGTGGTCAAGATTCAACAATTGGAGGTGGACTCTGTTGAACAATGGAGTTTGGTTGTAGAGTTAAAACATCCATCATCCAGCTTCAAAGGGGAACTGTAGTGAATGAGCCTCAAGCCCCGTAAAGGCGCGCTGCGACGACATGCTCGACTCTGTCAAGGCCTTATTTCTTATTAATATTTCACTTTGACACTGCACGTCCTTATGCAGCCAGCAATACAGGCAGCAAGGGTGAAAAAGATTGGATAAACAGTCTATATATAGACTGACAAACTCTACTCGTAACTGGTTTTACGATGCAGAAGCAGTAAAATCAACCTTTAAAAAAGTATTCCCTCCCCCCATTTACATCTCACACAAACAGAAGCAGACACATTGAGGGGAAAGAAAGCACTGGAAAGATAGAAGAGATTTCTGCAGGAGACAGCGAGTGTGTAATTTTGCCGGCTTGTGGCAGTGAGTGATGGCTTCATCTTTTCTTTTTTTTTAACCCAGGGAGAAACGGTGGACTGTCAGCGGCTCGATGTGTTTCACTTCACGCTGATCCCGTATCAAGGCCGCAGCCTCCTCGTGGGCAACAGATTAGTTTCTCCTGCACGGATGTCACGAGCCGACACCGAGTAGACGCGGGACAGTGTTGAGGGAGGCCTCTGACGGATGGCAACCATCCTTATTGTCTCTCTCTATCTCTCTCCTCCCTCACGCGGGGCTCTCTTTGTCTCTGTGGGACTTCTCACATTCCATCAAGGAAGAGACAGATGCAGAAGAAGTTTGGTAAATGAGTGAATTTAAAACACGTCTGGTCCCCGGTGGAATGTATCTTTGTAATTAGATACTAAACAGAAATGTCTTGCGATTATTTGACGGTGACAAAATACTTCTTTGAGCTGTGGTTTTTGTCATGAATAGTATGATAATGTTACATGGAGGCGGTCTCTGGATTCTGTTGATCAATCTGATTGTCCCCCTGCTGTGGAAGGCGATCCACCACAGTAAACATTTAGTTATTTTCTGGTCAAAATCGTATTTGCTGCGGGGGACGCGTTTTAAAACTCTCCTTCTTGGCGCATTCAGGGGTGAATCAGTCAGAAGCTTAAAAGGCGAGCAACACTTAATTAAATTGACAGAAAAATCCATGGATGATGTGAAAACAATAACGTGGGTTCGGATGTTTGTTGCATTGGAAGCTTGCTGGTTTTTGCCGCTGACTAAATATAACTTTGGATGAGTCAGTCGGCAGTGACGGAGACATTATGTGAGTTGAAGTTCTTACCCTCAAATTGCAACGCTGCACCAATGTTTAATCTCCTGCAAATCTGTTTTATAACAGTAAAACCAGCGAACGCAACAGCGTAAATAAATATAGCTGAATCTGACAGTAGTTAGAATAGATATAGAATAGAGAATAACTCTTTCCCCATAATGAATCTCTGCAATCAAGCGAGCTAGCAGAGGACATTGAGAGTGCAGGAAGGGCCTTAAATCCTACTTTTCCAAATCTCTCATTGAATTAAAGAAAAATCCTGTAAAACGAATACCTGGGCTCACATCAGGTCAGCATGAACATCGTCGTTATTCTCGTGCGCTTGTGTCTCTGTGCACTCATCCCAGGTTTTATTTGCACCTTTTACAAAGTTTAAGTCTTTTGTCTCTTCCATGAGAACGTCACCCGGGAGAGTTTCGCAGACCTTGGAACAGCTCAGGGAGCAACGTGCCATTAAGCCGGGCACCAGTGATGCAAAAGGAGCCATGCACTTTTAAGATTTAAATACAGAGTGTATGTACAAACACACATATTTGCAGGGTCTCTGCTGATTTGATAAGGAAAGTGGAGGAGAAGGAGAAGGGAGGGAGGAAGAGTAATGGAGACAAAGTGTGCCGTTTTGAATCTAGGAAAATCTCTCCCGTCTGTCCGACTCAGAGCGGATTTGTCTCTCCAGCTTGCAGACGTCATCTCATCTCCATCTATCGTTCTTTTTCCAGCCTCTTTTTTTTTTTACAGTTGCCTCTGGTGTACATTCAATTGCACGGAATTGCATTTCCCTGTGGCCTCGTAGGGTCCCTGTCCCTCTTTTTCCACACATACGAATCTTTTTTGTTGCTTTCACACACACAGAAGTTCAAACATTTTGTTTACAGCGTATTCCGCCTTTGAGGATGGTGTGGGGTTTGGGGCGAGGAAAGGGAGGAGGGGACTCCTTTCATGTCCTAGTTTCTTCGCGGCGGGGACTATTTCGGCGTCCTTTCGAGGAGTCTTGGCTCGGGCCGAGCTCGCCAGGAGAGGGAGGGTGGGGGGTGGGGGGGGATTGAATTCTGGCCCGGCAGTGTGCGGTTGAAAAGGGAGGGCTGCATGCTGTGTGTTTTGTGGGGGGCGACGGCACAAAAACACAAACCAGAGAGCGGTCCACGGTATTTGCATCGTGGGCACCGGTGTACGTAAAGTGTTTGTGCACGTGTGTGTGTGTGTGTGTGTGTGTGTGTGTGTGTGTGTGTGTGTGTCTCGTCTGATGTGTTCGCTTTTTGCGTGTACGGGGGCTGCGGATGAGGGCTTCGGGTCACAGCGGCGAGGGGGAGCTCGTCCGTGCCACCGCCTGCTCAGAATCGACAAAGAGCGAAGGAGCCTCGACGGGCCTGTCGGCACTCGCGGCGGCTTGATGGTTGGGGGGGAGAGAGGGGGAGGTCGGGCCGGCACGCTACCAAGGTCGCCCGTAGTTATGAAGAGGTGGAGGGTTTTCGGCGAGGTAAACACGCTGCTGTTCCGTGAGAATACAAAGCAGCAGCGGCGCGCTAACTGTCAGTGAAAAGAACACGCCGACAAAACCAACGAGGCCGGGTTGGAGGACAGAAGGGAGAAGCAGGGGGGGGGCAGCGACATAATGTGAAAGAAGGTTAATGGGAAAGATAGACAGAGAGGCAGAGAAGGGTAAAGAGAGGCTGTGAGCATAATAGATGAGATAGTGAAATAACAAAATACAGATCAGAGATTATAGAAGCAGACAAAATGGAAGGTCAATGGGTTTACATTAAGGGCCCAGATGTGATTCGGCTATTGGTTTCAACACTACAAAAATGCTCTTTCGTCTTTCCTATAAAGACAAATATAGATAGACGTGGCAGAGTGGCGCAGAGTGTTTAATGACATGAAGCAGAAGCTGCATAGACACACAATAAAGACCACTGCCAAAAAAAAGTAGATAAAAGTCTGTTTTGTTGAGTGAGTGACTCATTGGAGAAGTGCTCGGTGATTTCATCTAAAGTTATTATCATTTACTCTAACAGATTAGTTCACTCTCTTCGTTTAAAATGGCCAAAAATCTCTCCTCGCCCCTTTCTGCTCATTTCCCCAGCATTGATTAATGCGCGCAGTAATTACAGCGTAATAGAAATGACGGTTTCATATTTCATTAGGAATATTCTGTCCGACTTGTTCCAGATGAGTGCACACAGATTAGTGGACTGATTTTGTTTGACGAGGGGGAACGTTTCATGTTGAATGCATCTTTAGAGACTGAGAAGAGAGAATTAAATGATGGATGACATCAGTGCCATTCATTTTTGACAGCATCAACGTGGTATCTGTCCATCCGTCTAGGTACTGATTGTAAATAGTTACTCAACTTAAGTCATTACGCTTAATACATGTAGTTAAAAATACTTTTACACTGACAAGACCAAGTCCAGCCACGGTGTCCTAATTGATGACATCAACACGCTATGATGTCATCACAGTGACAAGGCCAATCTTCAGATCTTTGGTATGCATTTTCTATGTTTTACATCCTGCCAACAGTTGCTATTTAACACTAAAAGTACTGCTTAGGGTCAATGTGGAATGCCATACTACAGGTATTTGGTATTAAACCGAAACTTTGGCCTGATGGCGACACAAAAGTTAAAGGTTCAAGTTAAGACAGTAAATCCTAAATGAATCTAATCATCCAATTATTGTTGAGTATTCAAAACCACGAATTAAAATTTTTTTTTGACTACATCCACTTGGAACCATAAATTAGCAAAATCACATCCAATTGTTTCCGAAACATTTAAGTAAAATATAATTTGATAACCCGACAGTGAACATAATGTTCCAACAGGTGATTTTTAATCAAATCCTAATCGCTTTGCAGCACAGATCACTTAACAGCCGAACATAACACTTCGGAGTCAAATCTCAACAGCGATGCCGGTCAGGGAGGACAAGTATTATCCGCTTCACGTGAAGTGAAGACTTAATGCTGAGAAAAGCCAGCGATACCGCAGACATTCAGCAGAAATAGCTCTGACAAAAATCCACGTATTGTCTCGATCTACTCACCACAGGAGAGGTGCTTCGTCTCGGGAGAATCTCAGGCCACGCGATGAACGGCGGCTGGTCGTCCTGGAGCTCCTGGTCCCAGTGCAGCAGAGACTGCAGCCGGGGAATCCGCAGCCGCAAGAGGACCTGCAGCAACCCGGAGCCCAAGTACGGAGGTCAGACCTGCTTGGGTCCAGCGCAGGAGTACCAAGAGTGTAACGTCACTCCTTGTCCCGGTGAGAAATCTACGCCATTAACACGTTTACGAGCCAGTTTTAGAGGCTAAAAACAAAATAAGAATATTTGCAAGGCTGGAAGTCATTGAGATGGCCAGCTGTCGTTGTCACGCGCACATAGATAATAACATACTCCTCCACATCCTACTAAAGATATTGGTTTTCCGTGATCAATGGACGAGGGGGTAACATGACTTAATTACTTCAAATCATCAGGAAAACACAAAAGAGATCAGTTCCAGATAAGAGGTCTAACAAAGACCCTAATTTACACCAGAAATCAAAGAGACAATCCCCATGGCGATCCAGTATGTAATTACATTGCAGGGTAATTATGCAGCCGGCTATGGGAGGCCTTGTTCTGTTGTGAAAAGCCCCTTAGACAATGCATTTTCAACACTGCTCCAGTGAAAGGCTGAAGGAGGAAGGTTTCCAATTAAAAGAATACTCTGTCTGACTAAGGAAGCAAGCTGTCTAAATGGAAATCCAATGCCTAGTTTGCCATAAAGCACACCAGAGTATCCTGCACGGGCGCCATGCAGAGAAGCAGCAAACGTTATCGTAGATGATCTTTAATCAACCCTTTTTCGGTGTGGAGCAAGAAGCATCTCACAAAAAGCCCACATCTGCATGTCATCTCCCAGCCGCCGCAATTAGTCTTCATAACTGCTGCCGCGGCGTAACCAAGCAAAATTTTTTTTTAAAAGCCACCGAGGGTGTGCAGCCATTGACACAATTTCTACAGACGGTTAATTCGCTCTGTGAAAGTGCAATCCCGCTCGCCAACAGTTTGAGTTCGGCCCCTTAACACGCTGCAGCTGTTATCGGCCGCACGCACAGATGAAGTCTCTGGATCTAAGAGCATCCGAATTGCTTTGTTCGGGGGGGAAAAAGCTCTGCCTGTGTGGTTGCCACTAATATTCCCCGTGAGTATAATGTAGAGTGAATGCGCTTTGATTTTCCCTGCCCCACATCACTATGCTAATGCGTGTAGTACACCTATTCTGGGATGTTGACTGTAATAATACCAAATCTACAGTTGCGTGTTGATGAACAACCCCGCACTTCTGCTCCCCCCAAAGGAATGGACTTAACCCAGCCGGGAGTAGTTGTGAATACTGATGAGTACTCAATTAGCACCCCTGTGAAAGTGAGACATTGCACTGAGGCAAGCTGACAGTGCTGGTCTTTGCTAATCCAGTGCTTTTTAAAACGTGAGGAGAAGGTGTTTCCGCCGCCGCCGCCCCGTCTGTTTTGGAAACGCGTCCGCGCCCCGAGATGAGACGATCCGTCATCGAAGGCCAGGAATCGACTCACGTGTCGCTTTGCGATGAAGAAATTACACGACGAGATGAGAAAAAGCGGTCGGCAACTTCAATTACCTGCACTGTGCTGCCAGCCGTCATTAGGTCTTTAACGGCAATTCTCAAGTGGTTCCGAAAAGGCAATATTTCTCTGCCACAATCAAGTAAAGTTTTAGCGACACGGTTGGCAAAAGGATATTTCCCTATGTTGCAAATTCACGGCCAAAGATTCCCACCATTTTATTGTTCTTTTTCCTCCCCTCTTTTAAGTTACTCCCTCTCTCTCTCTCTCTCTCTCTCTCTCTCTCCTCCTCTATTTTACGCCCATCACCGCATACATTTGCGAACCACAGCAAAGGCAGATTGTGATGCCTCATTTATCTTTATTAATCGGAGGAGACGGTGTTGAGTTGGCGGACGGGGGTCAGGCGCTTGGTGTAACAGCTGGTTGAAGCACTCTTCCTGTCATTTCAGAAACACTTTACGCACACACACACGTCTCCAAATGGCTTCGTATTCCTGCGTCACGCACCGCTGTTTGAAATGGCTCGGAATGACTTCCACTCATCACTCGACGTTCAGAGGAAATTGTCTTTTCAAATGACCTGGAACATACACTTTAGAAAACACAAAAGCACACATTATGGGGAAAATTCTCCCGGGAAAACAAGAAACTTTGAAATCTACTGACCTGTTTCCTGCATCCATAACAGGGCTTTTTTTTTTTTTTTTACAAGAATCATTCAGTTTTGTGAGCAATAGTTTAAAGAAAATGACCCCGATATCCTTGATTTAGTGGACGGCAGCTGGTCGTGCTGGTCTTCATGGTCCAAGTGTTCTGTGACGTGTGGAGGGGGACACTACATGAGGACGCGCACCTGCAGCAACCCCCCGCCAGCTTACGGAGGGGACATCTGTCTAGGCCTGCACACTGAAGAGGCACTGTGCAACACACAATCCTGTCCAGGTAAACACACACACACTCACCTCGGTGATAAGTAGCTTTGGGCCTTGACCCGGCCACCAATCCATCCCAGGTTCAACCTCTTATTTTCTTTAGTCTCATGCATGACTAAGATGCAGCTGAGGGGTGGGTCACGCCACTCATTACACACGGACACACACTTCACAAGGCTGCGAGATAAACTGCCTGTCTGCCTTTCCCAGAGAGCTGGTCCAGCTGGTCGGCGTGGTCCCACTGTGACTCCAACGGGGCCCAGATGCGCGTGCGTCACTGCGACGTCCTGTTTCCCACCGGTAACCAGTGCTCGGGAAACAACAGCGAGAACAGGCCGTGCTCCCCAGACTCAAATTTTATAGGTGATCTCTCGCACACACTCACACACACGCACACACACACACACACACGTATAAAGCTGCCTGCGCGTCTGTGCAAAAGCTGCTTCTCTTCTGAAATGTCTCACCCACTCATGCACGACTTAACGCACACACACACACACACACACTCCTGCTCCATCACCCACCACCATATGCCCTCAGCGGTAATTCAGTCGCTTTCCAGGAATCCCGTGATAATGAAACACATAAGTGATCCCTCTAAGGGGCTGGTATCAGGTCGGAGGTCAGGTTCAGCGGCAGGGCAGCACTTAGGGGAAAGGTAGGGAGAGTGTCTCTTCCTGAAGGACTCCCGAGTGCGGCAAGTGATTACATGCAGGAGTGAACCCGGGTGCTTCACTTAAGGACAGTCCCCCTCCCAACTAACTCCGACTACCTTGCTGCAATATTAGTTTCATTACGAGTGTAAAAACCACTTACACAAGCAGTTTTATAGTTTTGTCAGAAGGAAAGAGCGAAATGGCTCCCGTGTGTAGTTTTCTGTACTTTGGTCGTTGAAGTCTTATTTTCTGTACTATTTCATCTCATCCAATTTCTTTGTGATGATTTTTCTTTTAATCATTTTCCCCCTAATAAGTCATTGTAGAGTTAAATGAAAAATTTGGAAACTTTTTCGGTTTATCTGTTAAGTGCAAATGCAGTAACTGTGAGAGATACTTTTGTTCAAAATGATAATACAAGACAAAATCAACTTTATCAATTCCCTCAAGAGGAATTGAACAAACCTTAACCTGGTTACTTTTGATTTTTGTTCAAATCTGTCCACTAGATATTAAACCAGCTACACCTAATAAGCATCACTTGTGTTGCGTTTTTTTCTAAATAGAGTGCACCTCTTTGACCTGCTCACATGAGAGCCATGTTCTATACAATTTGATCTACTTTTCAAGATATAATAAATCTTGCAAAGGCTGAAATAAAAAGGGAATTCCAAAGTCAAAAAAGAAGAAAAGGAAATCTATGTTCAGGTTACAGCTGCAGCGAAAAGCCTGTTGAACAGTTGTTTAACTAAACTTTCTTAAAGACCAAGAGTTCACAAAGTCCTTCTAAAAAAAAAACATACACACAGATATGTGACACAAAGAAATATTGATATGTTTTCTTGGACTAGCGTGTCTTTATTGACAGCCAGTAGCGGATCACTGCCAACACAAGAAACGCTATAAAAGGGTTATAAATATTCTGAAAAAAAGACCCATAGTTCTTAAACTTCAAGAATCATTAGTTGTGGCTTCAGAATAAACATTTGGTTAAAACAAAAATCTGTAACCTTTCCGTATTAATTAACAGGGATATAATAATTATGAAAAGCCTTCACAGGTCTTTATAGAATTACCCATTTGACATTACGCCTTATCATCCATCCCCTTTAATAGGATAGGTAGTCCATTAAGGTTCATTAGATACGTCTTGTACTTCATTTCCTTTAATGAGAGCTGATACTTTTCATAAACCACTCCAGGTGCTACAGCCTTGATTAGCTTTTCAGGGTTTTCATGATAATCTGTTCCATATTGGGTACAGCTTTCATTTCCACACTCAACCTTCAAAGGTACGATTTATCATGCTAACAGGGCTGCATGTGTAACGCACGTGGTGTTTAACCCTAATTCTGCTGCTTTTTGCCTTCAGAAGTCTCGATTGCACGCTCCAGTCAGGAGGAGAAGCTCTGTGGAGGTAATTGATGCGTTTTACATGTCAAATAACAACAATAAGATAAATGCACTTTACTTCTTAAATATGATTCACTCCAAAACTGAAGAAAACGACATCTTAAAGGAAGCACAAAAAATTCTTTTAGACTACCATTTTAATATGAGAATTATTCCCTAATTGCTAATTAAATCTGTGTGTATGTATATAATTTACAGAATGAATTATTTTAAATATATAAATATACTCTCTTTTTCTTCTTATCGTTTTTTGCTGGCAACATACACTTTAATACACAATCAGAAGTAATAACGGATGAGAACAATACTGTATATAAACAAGGTTGCATGTGAACAGAGAGTCAACGGTCTTCTATGGTGCAGGACACACCATCATCACCGTTCAAATTGCAGCCACAATTACTACTTTCCCTTGTGTGAACTGATGGAGGATTTACCTGCATCCTACTTCTCCCCCTCACTTTCCTTCCAGCAGACTTTAACCTCCTCCACATGATCGCCGTCGGCCTCGGCAGCTCGATCCTCGGCTGTCTGGTTACCCTGCTGGTCTACTCGTACTGCCAGCGCTTCCAGCGGCAGTCCCACGAGGCCACAGTCATCCACCCCATTTCGGCGGCGCCGCTCAACACCAGCATCACCAACCACATCAACAAACTGGACAAGTACGACTCTGTGGAAGCCATCAAGGTCCGTGCACAGGGTTCCACCGCGGATGACACTTGATCTGATGTGCAGATGTGTAGACGCAAGGCAGCAGTTTGTAACATTTCCTCGCGGTTTGACCTTAATCGATGGATGTCACACTCTCGCGCCCCCCCCCTCCTCCAGTGTCAGTTCTGATTAAATACACTTCTTACTGCATGACTCTCACTGTCACACCTCCTCCTTGGGTGCACTGACACTCTTAACAGACAGACAGGTGTGGGTACATCTTCTCTCCGCGTGCTCCTCTGCTGTGTGTCTCCGTGTGTGACTTTGTTCTGTGTCAGTGGTCATACGCTGCTTTCTCAAAACACGCTAATGCAATTACTAATCGGCGGGTGGGAAGGTAATCAGCCGAGATGCTCCGCACCTTCACATTTCCCCGCTTGGATAGGTTGCTATTACAAAACTGATTGCTCTAAACATCCCGTACAGCAGTTATTTATTAGCATTATTACTCGTAGAGCCCAAAAAGACAATGTCCACACACATAACATTCACCTCTGCAATGGCCTTCCGTAATCAATCAAGACGTTTCTCGTGGTAAACTTTTACATACATACACAAAGTAAAAAAACGCTTTACCGTCCAAGCTCTTTCACTTTGCTTCAGTCTCCTCTTCAACATGAGGGGAAATGCAAAGCCATACACCGGTGGCTCAGGGAAGGGGGTTAAGGCGTAAATTGTTATTCGGTAAAGTTTTGCATTGAAACAGTATTATAACTTTTACTGCAGTACTGATAAAGCTGCCATTTTTTGGCAGGTTTTTTATTTGCTTGTGTTTGATCCTGTCAGAGGGAGTCTTCAAATTTAGACACATGTTAAAAACTAAGTGAATGCCTCGATCTCCGTTTGCAAAATCTACTTATCAGATATGAGAGTCCCACAAAGTGAGAACAGATCCTTTAGCTCGAGGCAAACATCTCTAAATATAATTTCATTGCTGAATAAAAGTGTGAGGAGCATTCATCTGTCATACAATTAGAGTCAGATGCATGGAGCACAATTCAGTTGGTGCAATTGCAAAGACAGGCGAATATAAATAAAGACAGACTGTGATGAAAAACAAAATCACTGTCTCATTTTCAGGAAAGCGCATTCTACCTCCAACCCTGAGTCGCTGTGAGCCTCAACCGTTTTGTTGTTGCAGTAAATATTCAACAATCAAGTGTGCAAAAAGTCTTTTGTTGTGTATTTCCAGGTGTGTAGTTCAGTGAAGTAGCTGAAGTACCATGTACAGCTACACGTTGACTGTTTTAGGCTGAGACAGAATATGGCCTCTGGGTTTCTTGGAGGATGATTCTTGCCCATTCCTCTCCTTGCAGCCAGATGTGTCGGTACTCTTGCCATTGGACGACCCGGCCATGCACCAGCCCCTCTCTGCTAACATGGGGGTGTCAATGCGTGGCCTGGAGATTTTCTACTAACCTCTACAACATCACGCCTCTCGATTCTCCCCCCCCCCTCCCCTATAACAGAACTACTTTGACCCCCCGCCCACCCCCCAACCACCACTACTTCCTCCTCCTCCTTCCCACCGTGCCCCGCCTTTCCACTTCCTGTGGCATTCCTGTGTGTGGCAGGTTGGAGTACAGACTCTAGTTTCTCTTTTTCTGTTCAGACCCCCTGCATCCCACCCGTCACCCCTCCCCACCCGCACCCTCAAACTTTCTCCCACCCAGCTTGTGAGAAGGCAGTGTATCCTTCCTCTTTTCTCCCCCCATTTGCATGTTTTCTTTTTCCATGTTCGTCCCTCGTGTTTTTGTCCTCCGTTTTTTACTTGATGTCGACAACAAAAAATCCACTTTTTACGTTGTTTATTATGCTCCTCTGTTACCTCTATCACTAATGTCACTTCCTTGATCAAGCGCATTTTGTTTACCGCACCAAAATTGCAATCTTTCTTCAGCCAATTAAAGAGGTTTAAAGCCGGAAAAGACAAAAGTAGATCATGCTAATAAAGCATTGTAAGCACAGCCGTTTAAACGCAGCGGCGGGGCCACCCGGGGAGACACATAACCGCCGCCGCCGGAGCTGCACTGGTGTTGATTGCGTTCCCTCTGTGTGCAAATCACATAATGGGAAGAAGGCAAAAATATGAGGTTATTTTATATATTTCTTTTGTCCGGCACACTCGTTCCCCATCGGTGTCGGTTGGAAACATCCATCAACGGCGAATGCAGCATCATCAAGTGTTCAATTACACCGCCCCAAGGGACGCGGATGCGCACACACACTCGCAGGCTGCCTCTGAACGGATCCATTTGGCAAATTGCTGATGCTGTATTGAGCACCACATCAGAAGCTCATTCCATGTTTACTCCGTCACGTGGGGACAGCGAAGATACCCCCGAGGCCTCTTTCTTATTGTTTAACAGAAAGAGACTCGCTCTTGATCAATTGTTATGGCTTGGATTGTCCTAAAGGACCAACAACTGGAGAGCCATAAAAACCGCTGATGCCGGGTATTAGAGATGACAGAGGTGGACATACGCACATGCATCAAACAAATGTAGCCCCCGTGAAGCTCGTCATTTTTTCCCTGTTTGCAAACGCTTTTGACCTTGCTCTGTGAAATGTTTGTTTCATTCACTGAGCGGCCTCCCATTGATTTGTGTTGCTCCTCCTTTAGTTTTTTGGGCTAAATGGATTTGCTTTGACCTTGCTATCAGGGCTGAATAACCCTTTTATCCATACTGACTCCCTCTTGTTTCTCCCCACAGGCCTTCAACAAAAACAATCTGATTCTGGAGGAAAGAAATAAGTACTTCAACCCACAGCTTGCCGGGAAGACCTATACCAACGCATACTTCACCGACCTCAAAACCTACGATGACTATTAGGCCTCTATCTGGCAGTTCAGACTCACCACACCATAGCTGAGACACCAATCCTAATCATCCGTTTCGACCGTATTCTTTTTTTTTTTTTGTGCTTTGTATTGAGATTCGTGACACCATGCGGGGGATATTCCCACTCTGAGACTCCATGGCAGCTGGGATGCGGTGAAAACACAGACACGCGGTGTTGCCAACAGAGTGAAATGCCCACTTTTCTCTCAGGTGCCTTGGGGCACACTCGGAGAGTTCAAAAATTCTGTGGGCTAACTTGCCTTGCCTCTCTGCTCGAGAAACTGACAACTGGAATTCCCAACGTGGACAAAAAGGGAAAAATATAACTCCACTCAAAGAGACTGGGAGACGTGATCCCCTTGAAGGTTTTCTGTGACGCCTCTAAAAACAGACCTGTATTTGTAACGATGGGAAATAACCACACAAAACCGCTTTGCATGACTTCATCTGATGTGTTTCCTCTGACGTTCTGTTTTGTTTTTTTGCATGGTTGATCGCATTCCAGGGTTTTGGAGACTCGCAAGCAGCATTTGATGTTTTGCTTTAATTCGGTGCTGGTTTGGTAAGTCATGAAACAAAGACTGTGCCGAAGGCTGATGGCTATTACCATTTAATGCTGAAGCGATCTACAGATGGATCAAGCCCACCCGAGTCCTAAAACCAGGATGTAGATATTTTAAATCTGTGGTTTGTCCACTTATTTTTTTTGTCCAACGCTCTAGCAGCTAGCAGTTATTAGCGTACCATTTCTTTTGCTTTCCCTTTTCTTTTTGTAATTTGTTTGCTTTTAAAAAAAAGGTGCATACATTTTGTACAGAATGTTACGTTTGAAGCCTTTGTCGGTAGTTTTTCTAAATACATTTATTCAATGTCTTAAGTGTTTAAAAAGAATAAAACATTTCCTTTTGAAAAGAAAGAAAAAGTTTATGTGCATTCTGACAAGTAATCTGTAGTATTCATATGAGCCTTCATCAAGTTCAGTCTTTGTCAGCGTACTTTTTATATTTTTTGTAAAACAAAAAATAATGTTTTTGAATTTTGATAGTGTTTGCTATTCCTTTGGCTTCTGCATTAAATACTTAATTTGTGAGTCCATTACTGTACAGATGGAGCATAGCAAAGGCTTCTCTCCTGAACCCTTTTTTGAGATGAAAATCCATTCATCAAGTGAGTTATTTCTGTTAAGAATGTGCAACCAAATATAAGGTTGTTTGATAGTTCAGTTGCAACTAACTCTTTTTTAAGTTTGCTTTGTGTTACTGTGCATAAATTAAAATCTGCTTCGTACACAACAGACTTGTTATAAAGATTCATTTATAGAACATCTCATTCGCGGAGCTTTGATGCCCTCGGTCTTGATCTCAGCAGCTCTCTTAAACAACTGAAAACACGCCTTCGGCCAGGTACAAGTGTGGGACACTTCTCCTGTGTGGTTTTCTCCGACAACTTTAAAACCTTGATGCAACTCGAAGAAAGTATTGTTGTACCACAGCCGAGCACGCTGCACACCAGCACTCCATACATCACTTACAACTCCAGGTAATCCCAATACCTGACTTTTATAGGAGATTCAGCACAGCCCTGCTGTGACAAACGGCAAATCAGCAGCAGAAGAGGGATACCTGAAGGATACACATCACGTAACTCAGGAGGGTAATGGTAGGGGGGGTCGATGCCTGAAGACTAAACTCTAATCTGTATGATGGCGTGCAGCACCTCACACGGTGCTGTTCTCCATCAACCTTCAACTTGACGTCCCTTCTGTGTGCTGAGGGTAATGGATCTCACTACCTTTAGTTACTACCTGAGAAAGCAATGCACACATGCACATGTGTGCAAGAGTGTAAGCACATGCAGGGCTTATCGGAAACACGATTCCATGCAAAAGTTAAACGCTTTGCTTTATCAGAAGGAGATGATGAATGTTTGTTGCTTTGCATCTCTGACAAACATATAATTAATTTACTTAAATAAAGATGAAATGTGACTATTAACTTCAGTCTTTGTTGTTGATTGATAACTATTATCGAACAAGAGCCAGTACGAAATATACCTCGTGCGAGTAGGTATCAGATCCACTTGCCCGACTGACCAAGCAGATAAAAAATAAATCAATAACAAAGCCCGAATGCCCGCGGGCTACCCGGCATCCCTGCCAGTCTACTCCAAGGTGCTGGAAAGGAGGGTTCAGCCCACAGTCGAACCACGGATTCGACTGATTCGATGTGATTTGAATATAAAATGCATTTACCGCGAATTGCTTTCTCCAAATGAGCCACGTTTCTCCGCGCATAGACAACCCTTGCGGCCATGCAGCAGTCAGGAGCGTTGTTAATTAGCGGCCTGTATACAGAAGCCGTTGAGTGGCAAACAAGGTGAGTGAGGCAGAGTGTTCCTGTCAGGCGGGTAACAGAGCGTAAACGACCCATTAAACCCTCTTTTTCCCTCTGGAGACCGGATTTTCTCTCATTCACACCGCTGTGCTCAAGCTGGCCTTTCAGAACCTCCTGAGCACATCTGTCCCCCGACCCCTCCTTCGGTCATCTAATATTAGCAGAAATAACCATGCATACCCCAAAATGATGTCGCCCAACTACCAATGCATTGGCTGTTATTATTCTAATCCTGCGAAAACTTTCCATCTCTTTGATGAAGGGAGAATTTTTTTTAAACTGATCGCTGAGTGTGGGACGAGACCCCCATGCAGGCAGCACAGTGGATTCTGAAAAAATGATTACCGGAGGAATATCCAGTGATGAATGTATGTTGTTTGTATGAGCTCTCGTATGAGAAGGGATGGATGAAGATGTTGACTAAACAACCCGAGGGAAGACCGATCAACAATTTATGAGCTATCATGAAAAGTTTCTTGCTGTTGAAAAATAACAGTGGATTACCAACGCCTGTCGTGCAGCGGAATCCGCAAACAGCACACCGTCATCTGTGCACAAACACACGCCATGTGACTCTTTGAATGAGAAACCCTTCACAGCGTTGCATGTGGCAGTTACACTCCCTCGGTTTCCACCTGCAGCCGAGGTGAAGCTCTGTGGATTTGCCACTTAAATTTGTTGTTACTATGGAGGATGTAAATAGACGATTTGTAGCGATCCCCCAAAGCATTATATCATCCTCTTAAGAATATTTTGTATGTTTTGAAGCAAACATTCCTTAATGCAGCTTCAGTCCAGATTACCATTGCTACGTATTCAAAGCAAACAGATGAGAGGTTTTTCAAAGCCTCTTTAATCTCTATAATGCTCTGGCTGCATGCCTGAAGATACATCATTTTTTTATTTATGTGACATTTTAAATGTGTTTTACTCCTCGCATTTGGAATCCTTACTCATTACATTAGTATTTGTATGAATTCCAAGTTTTCAGAAGGAGCAGCAGTCTCGGTTTTCTGCACAGACTCAGCACAACTAGATAGGAAGCTGCCGCAATTCTGCCAAGTCTGGCGCGCTTGACTGAAGAATGAATGTCACCGTAGGCACTGATACCAGCTGAGAGATGCCACCATAGATTCCGTCCCAAGACATCTGGAATCCCAGGTGCCCATCTCGCCGATCCAGGTCTCAGCTGCCTCATTTATGCCAGGAGCCTCGCAGCGCCGGCCAAACCACACTGCAGCTTATCATCTCCACCGCGAGCCTTTCCTGGGCCTATTCACCTCTCTCAAAGCTGCTATTTAGGTAACGAGCCAAGATGGCGGATGTACCGCCGGGCTCCAATTACCCTGTAGGTTTCCTGCATCTTCCCCTGCCAGCTTCCCCCCCCACAAGTCCTGATTCTCCTCAGCGCGGCCAGCTGCTCTGGCGCTGCTCAGCTTCCTCGGTGTCCGTACAGAAGGGGACCTTTTCTGAACAGTGGGGTTCTGTTGGGGTTAGATCCACTCACAAGGGGCAATTGATGGTGCAACAAGTCTCTTCAGTGGTTGGATGGTGTCTTTCAAAGTGCAATATCAGTGGTCGACACTGGCGTCCAGAGACAGAGAGCTGTTGTTCATTATAAGTGTTAATTAAAGTATAGAAGTCTGAAAGCAGAGCTACAAGTGTAATTTATTTTAATTTACTAATAATTTCCCATCTGGAGGACATGTATATTGCCCTTTACTAAATTACAAGTTAAAAGTCCTGTTCATGACTATATTAAAAATAAGTCCGGATTCGGCCCGTCCTGTTTCGCAATATCCCTTCTTTCTCAAAAGTCTCCCAAGTCCACTTTGCCCTTTGTCCAACATGAAAGGACAGGCATGTCACGTTGAAGGCCCACGGTTCAATATGTTTTTATATTTAGTTAGGTGTATTTTAACCAAAGTGGCAGAAACAAGAAGACAACTAGTTGTTTGGTTGTGTCCTCACACCCAACATGGGAGGAGCGCGTCACGCTTCATGAGGGAAAAACTTTTAATAAATCAAAGATTTCCCATAAAGAAGGAAGCACAGGGCCAGGAAATGCATCGGAAACCACCGTCAAGGTCAGAGGTTAACACACGAGTCAATCGCGAGGTAACCAACAGGCATGGCTTAAATACACTGGCACGGTGCAGGTGATCTGACACAGGTGATTGGACACAGGTGATTGGACACAGGTAGGAACAACAAAGGACAAGGCAGAAAAACTCACCAAGGAAGGAAGTAAAGCAAACCCACGGACACGAGAGGCAGGGAAGTAAACTTTTTTTTATTGAAACTTACACTGTGACAGTGTGTCTGTGTAACAGCCTTTTTGCAGACCGCAACAGAGAAAAACATTTTCCCTTTAAAGATGAGTAAATACTACATCCTTTTTCAAGCGATTCTCTAAATTTGAAGGATTTCTTTCAGTGTTTGTATTTGTTTATTTTATAACCAGTAACATATGAACTGATTTTTACACATCAAATCTCCCACAGGGGTTCCCCTTTATCCTGACAGAAAGGAAACTGTCCAAATAGACAAAGTAGTTCCAGAGTTATGGAACACTTTTTATCACGGGTAGGCCATTTTCAGAGCAGGAGCCAAAATAAAGCCATGGCAGGGAAAGGTTTTAAGACTTCTATGGACATATTTCAGTCATCCAACTCGAAGTGAAAGTATCTCAGTCAAGGCCTGTAGGTGACTTCTGAGGTGAAAGCTATGAAAAGTTATATGAATAGCGGGCAGCAGGTGCAGCACCAAATGGAAGGAGCAGATTGCTTTCGGTTGAGCAGCATTGATGTGCAAAATCGGTGCGGTTCCCCTCCAAGCACACTCACATTCTCAGAGGGTGAATTGAATTTATGTTGCACTGAGAAGAGTAAGTCGGAGTAGCAGGGGTCTCGAGCCGTCAGCCGGAATAAGCTTCTTTTACATTGCATTACATGTCATTTAGCCAACGCTTTTATACAAAGTGACTTCTTCAGTGGTTGTATCTCAATATATCGTGTGAGCGCGCCCACTGCAAAAAAGAAAGCATGTGTTGTAAAACTAGTCAATTTTTGTGTGTGTGGTGTTGATGGACACCTCAGTCCCGTGACATGAGAACTGCTACCGCAACAAAAAAAGTGATACAGGGGATAAATAAACAAACAGAAAATTACATTTATTTAAACAATATTGTCAACATATTTGTAGTTATACGATGTATGGAAATTTAAGCAATTCAATAAAACATTGTCCTGTATCTGCACATCTCCCACCTGAGATATCACGACTAAGTATAAAAAGTAATCTAATTAGGCTTCAAATAGTCTTTGAAATTGTGGCACAGACATTGATAGTAAAATGTACATTCTGTGACTCTCTTATTCTTTACATTAGATCTAATTTACCGTTCAGAGTCTTCCTGCAGTAGATGTATTTCATTGGTTTGGATCTGTCGTGGTGTTGTTCAGCTTCACTTGTACACTCGCTACTTCCACCTTCTGCTCTTTCGGCTCTTTTGTATTCGCTTTCATTCTTCATCCCGTTGTGTTTAATTCAGTTTGTCACGCTGAGAAGGACATTTATTATCTCTTTGATAATAGAAATAACTACATTGAATATTCTTATATCAGAAAACATCTGATTATAAAAATAGAACCTTATGAAACCTTTTTGTGACAAATTCATTCGCACATGAGTTGTTAGCAGTACCAGAGATATATCCAACTGTAAACACATGAATATGACATATTTGTACCTGCGTTTTACTTGTTCAGCTTCTTGTTCAGACATTTGTACCTGGCGACCGGCAGCTCTGCTCTCTGCTCCTTTCGACGTGTTTCCCAGTTCGTTTGTCATTACTGGAAGCTCAGCGTCGTTCACTGTGGTCTGCAGGCTCCTCGGCTCTTCCCTCTGCTCCACCACCACCACCACCACCAACCGGGCGCCAAGGTCGTGCAGCGTGTCCCTCAGCATCCTCAGTCAGATCCAGGCAGCGTTGGAGCCGTCACTGAAAATAATAGCACCTGGTGTGGACCACCGAAAAAAATTTGAGAGATGATTAAATGCCATCTGTGCCGCTCACCTGCCTTATATAAAGTCAGTCAGTCGAGGTGTAAAGACTATAACTTTCTAGCAAACAATGTTACTGACAGAAAAACACCAATTTAAATGGCAACAAAACAGGGACAGGACACATGAGTGGGTGGTTAGTACTGCTGTTTATTATGGCAGCAGTGAACCTTCCACACTGGAAGTTTTAATACATTAAAGGTGACGGGGCAACGGGGGGGTGGGGGGGGTTACAATGACAAGGGAATCTAATTAAAATTAAATGCACTATTCAGCAGATGAAATAAACTAGAATATAAGTAATACAACAATGTTGTTGTAATAATATCTTTCCAGTTTAAGGGAAGACTAGATTTCCTCCCTCGTAGGGTAAATTGTTACTGTTTGGCTCTGTTGTACGAAGGTTGGATTTTGTCAGGCATTTTCTCACAATCCGCTATCACAAAGTCTGTGACATTTCCGTCCGTTTGTTTTTCACTTGAGTTTATAGTTGATTTTAAAAATGCCTTTTCAGAAGTTCTGTAAAACGATACCGA